GTTCAGTACTATTTTCATTGTTTCTAACAGTATTTTTTCCATTACTTTGCTTAGCTTCTGGAAGGCATCTTTTGCTATCCCAATGCGCCTTTGGATTTCCAGGTCACACTTTCTGTTCTCTGTTAATATGCTTCCCAGATATTTAACTTGTTGCACCTGTTTGATTTTTTTTAATTTTTAATTTAATCTTTAATTTGCATTTTGGACGGTTCCTTGTGCTAACCATACATTCTGTCTTCTTACAATTGATGTTTAGTCCTTTCTTCTTGCTTTCCTTCATTACCATGTGTAAGAATTAAATGAATTGATAACCAAAAATGTGTTAATAAAGATAACAGATTAAAAGACAAGGCAAAAAGATTGATATTTATTTATTCATTCTCATATATACAATTAGTGTATTTGGTGCAAGGCCACCCAACTGTTGGAAAAAAAAAAAGGTTTGGTCATCATAACATTGATATTCTCATCTTTTTTGCTTAATATCTCATGAAGACACAAACAAAATATCAGTCAATTTCATGCAATATCCTCTGTCTTCAATAATCCAAATCAATTATTACTTCTACTCAAATGAAATATTTACAGATGATGCGGGCTACAAAGGCACAGAACAAAGAAAAGCAATTTGCAGAAATTCCTCATGACAAGTTAAAAGGTATAGATTTTTATTTATTTTTTTTTATCAATAAGAACACTTGATCATTTGGGACTTCAATATTTTTATGCGATATTAACTCAAATCCTTGCTGTGTCAGTTTAAACTGATGTCTAATTTTTGTTCATATAGTGTGATCATTTTGCTTAAAATTTATCGTCTTGGTTTCAGATGAAAAATTGGGAAATTTCCTGACATGTTTCAATGAAATTTACAGTTTACAGTTATAGCTTAGATATATATATATAAAAAAAAAGGTGTCAGTTTAAACTGATGTCAGGAGAAATTTTTGATAAATCAGAAAAATAGCTATTCTTTGACCAGTTCCATTGCCATCTCAAATGTATCTTGAAGCACAATCCAGTTCACTGGCAGAGTAAAAAGACTCATTCTCATGAGATATCTGATCAGCTGCTATTAAGAAAAATTATTGGGGATGTAAAAATATTTTTAAGTACTGGGCAAAATATCCTAGGCAATTATATTTTTTATTTAAGCAAATGTAGACAGGGTTATAAATATTTATTGATATTTTAATTTATAAATACTAGCTTAAAAGCTGATGTCCATGAAGAGCTTTAAGCTAGTAATACTGAAGAGACCTCTGGTCCAACTTAGAAAGTGGCAATTATAAATTTGAAGAAATAACTTTGAATTCCTCAATAACCCTATGGTACTTCAAAACTCCACTTTAACTATAATTCATGAGCTATAAGTCCAATTCCAACTCAAGGAATGATTTGGGCCGAAATGGAAAGACATTACACTTTGAACTGTGAATGTTATTTTTGCTTTAAAAATTTATCAAGGAATTATGGATATCTTTGGATTGCATACTTAAATTTTTAAAAAATTCCTTAAGATCTTTTTTTAAGAATTACCTCAAAGTTTTTTTTTTAACTTCAAGGTAATTCTTCATTCAATAAGCAGTGATTTTCCAAGTGTAGCTTAAATGTGGCATGAGGCTGAAAGTATAGTGCACTCAGTGAGGATCGAACTCACTATTCAGTTGTAATTGGTCTAGTGAGACAAGTTTGCTAATTATTACACCACGTCAAGGTGTCCTCATTCAATGAATGGAAAATCATATTGACTTAAGCTAATCTTACTACATCTTGTTTTTGTATTGAAGTGCAGTCTATGTACTAAGAAATGACTACTTATAATCTTGCATCTGGAATAAACAGGTGGGGGTGGAATAAAAGGGTAAGCTAGAAAAATGAATTTGTTCTTGGAATAGAAAAAAAAAGAGAAACTGGACTAACCAAACAGGTTGGAAAAAGAAAAGGTGAAAATAATATCAAAATTTAATTAAGCATTTATTCTGGACATAATAGTAGCCAATTTATTAGGAACTGATCCTCTCTTTTGATAGAATTTATAAGAAAAATATGCAACTAATATTTACATATTGTATAAAAATAATTTAAATGAAATAAGCAGAAAATGCAACATCTATGTTAAAAAAAAATTTTCAGATTTCCCTCAGGTGTTAACCCAAGCTGTTTGTGCAAAGCATATTTCAAAAATCAATTGATTTGATTGGAAGACATATCAAGTCTTGTCAGATTATTTAATGTTGAAGGTTTGAACTCACTACACAGTAGTAATGGTCTACTAAATTAACCATTACACCATTCTGAGGCACCACTACTGATGTGAGTTAAAAAATTGAATTTTACAACAATTCACAAACTGATTATGCAAACTTCAATTTTAGTAACCAGTTTGATTTCAACTTATAGCCCCCCCCTCTTCTAAACTTGCTAAAATAAAAAGACAAAAAAAACCAAACATCAAGGACAACCTCAGATTTTTAGACAGTACTGTAATATTTAGTTATATATAATGACATAAGAACATTATAAAACAAGTACTTGTTTTGGATTGGTTTAAATGGGGAACATGAATAAAATTTCAGTAACATCTCATGTATTGTCCAACAATTTTATTTCTTATAATTTCTTCTGAAATAGCAAATGCAATGTATTTTGAACAAGCAAGATTCTGGTGTTAAGAATCTTAAACCAGGGAAACCAGTTTATTTTCTTTACCATAGTCATTTAGTTGAAACATATACAAAGTTTCTTATCAACTGCAATGTTATTGGTCCTGACTTGGCATCTCAATTTCAGTCACTTTCCCATTGCTGTAACATTAGGTTCCCTGTACATTTGTATAAATTGTTCTTATGAACTTTTCTCTATGGTACCTAAACTTTATGAATTTTTAAGCATAATACTAGATTGGCAACAAAGTCTCAATTATTTACAGTCAATTTGGCAAGCTGTAACTGTAATTTTTATGCTAACAGTTTCTTCTCTTACATTTTTTGCTTGTGGAACTCTCTTCTGGCTTTCCATCCAACTTTGCATTTAAAATTTTGAAGATCAATGTCAATCAATATTTATTGTCTTCTTGATCCCTCTCCTTTTATTCTTACTCCTTAATAATATTTTTCTTTTTCTTTCACTCAGTAACCCCTTGTGGATTTACAGCTTTGCTTGGGGTGAAATGATGAAAAGAAAAAAAATGTGATAATAACAATGGCTAGCTGCTGTATTGTATCCCATAATACTACCTCAAGCTCACCAATCACATTGCAAGCTGCCAATTAGCATAACTTTACAACCAATCAAACCCATCACAAACTCCAATTTTTCCTCGCACAAGTTCTTATATAACATCACATATAGAAAAATAAAGGCCTATATGCAAAGAGATTAATCAATTAGTATTAAATGATAGAGAATGTTTAATAGATGAGACAGTGATTAGATAAATATTATAATGATAGGTTAGATGGATTGTGTCAATAGATACAGTGGCTGATGAGCTGGTCAGAGGGGATGAGGAGATGATAATTAACAAGCAATAAAACATTTCTATTTGCAATAAGAGTAATTATCTGCTTATAACTGATTAAAAATATAATGCACAGATTTACTTGGATTAGTAAATAAGTGTATAATTTCTCATTTAAAAACAACAAAAAACAAGTGCGTTTGAAGAAAACACGATGGAATAAAAAGCCAGAATTATGACATAACTAGGGAAGAGGGAAAAGAAAAAAAAAAGAGGAACTGAGATAAGTAAGAGAGATAACTTCAAGAGGTTATTAAATCAGGGTAGATAACTTTGAAATAAAATAAATACAAGGGAGATAACTTGGAAATAAAATCTAAAATTTTTATAGATGCTGATAATAGAATAAGCTCTCTGATAGTCTGTTATGCTGGCTGCTTGTTATTTTAACGGAAAACATTCTGAGATCTGTTATTTGTAATTATATGCCTCTATTGTGAATTAAGAATATTAATTGAAAATCTTGCCAAAAACTATTCATTTCGAATTTATAATTTACTTTACTCTTATAAATTCATCTGAAAATTGCTTCAATTTTTTTTTCTGTAAATCATTAAAATCCTAAAGTTAGCCTTTAAGAAAATTTGAAATTAACTTTTAATGAAATTGTATCTAGAATAAATATTAATAAATCCCTATAATTCAGTGGCATTGATATTGTGTATCAACTTCTCAGTAATGATACATGAGAAAAGACAGTCTTTTTAAGTGCTGCCAAATTAGCATTTCTATAAAATAAGAAACACTAATAAATATGAATATTTTTCTTTTCTGTGACCCAAAATTATAATCTGAGCCGTAGACTTTTGTTTGAATAAAAAAAACAGTTATTGAAAAAAAAAAGCAATTTATTTGAAAACCTGCCTAACGATCAAAATTTGGACTATTTAATCAGTCATGGACATGATTAGAATATTCCTTATATTACCCATGTAGAAAAATAATTAATATATTCTTTTTCCTGTCTGCTTCAAGCTTAAACAGAAGTTAACTTGATTTTCTGGATAAGGGAATTTAAAAAAAAAATGAATTCCCTTATCCAGAAAAAGGGCAGTATTCTAAATAACATTTCATTCACACATTTGTTTCTGCTGAATTCTCATATATATAAGCACATTGTTTGTATTTATTTCAGATTTGAATTTGTTTTACATATGTTTCACTGCCAAAAACACCTGATCAAGGATGGAATTTTAAAGGAATAAGTATAGTTTCATATATACATTTTATAAGTCAGTTGGATCTGTCAGTTATAGTCAGTAATCAATAAGAAAAACCCTTTTATGCATTTGTTCACTTGCACACAGGTGCACACACACACACAGCCAGAAATATCCCCCCCTCCAATTTCTAAACTGAAAAATATATTGATTATAAAAGTTCAGATTCCAAAGCTTGAATAACTGAATTTTGTTTCTAGATTCTCAGGCTTTGGTGACTGACTGTTGATGATTAGTTAAAATAGCCAGTAATATGTTCATGTCCAGCTGTTCCCAACAACATTGTTGATCCACTCTAAGGCACTATCAGTACGAGTGAAGAAATTGACCAGTGTGCGGGTTCCTCTACTTGGCTTGCAATCTCTGTTGCCAGCGCTCATAATGCCCATCAGGTACCACCTGTTGTCTGAATCCTGACACATCAGAGGGCTACCACTGTCACCCTGTAATAACAAACAAAACATATATTAATAAATAACATGTTGGTTGTTGATCATCATGGATCCTGTAACTCTATTAGAGTTGTAAGGGCATCATATCAGGAATGGTGTCTTGTGCAAGACAGCCTGGCAGAGTCACTCTCACTTCAGGCTGAAGAGTTCAATCTGGAGGAAGATGGACTTGTGCTTATTTTCAAGGGTATTAGTGCAATGTGAACAAAATTGAACTTGGCATGCCAAATTCGCTTTTTATACCAATAACAATTACACTATCCATGCTGTCAAAAGAAAATTTATTGTATGAAACAACACCTGCGTTATTGTTGATACAAGCCACTATTTTTTAATGAAGAAAGTTAAAGGTTAATTAAAGACACAATCAGAGTTTAAAAATATATGATGGTATGATAATGTAATTAAAAAAACAAGAAATATATATAGTTGCACAGGAGGTGAATGTAGCTAAATATGGTAGACTGGGCTTTTTAGCCTTTGGTGACAGCTAGTTTAAGTCAGTGTTTCCCAACCTGAGAAATGTATTTCAACAAATGAGTTATTTGTGAGTATCTGAGTCCCAGAAATTTCAACTATTTCTTCCTCATGTTAAGTATAAGTTTTCTTTTTCTCATTTCTCACATGCTCCATCTATAGTATTCATAGCATCCTTCTGTAGAACCAAATTTCAAGTCTCTTCTTCCTCTATGAGAAGATTATCCAGTATTCACTGCCATATGGGAGGACAGACATCAGTACTCTTTTCTTTGTTTCTAATAACATTTTTCTATTTTTTAATACTTTGCTTAGCTTTTGGAAAGTACCTTTCACTATCTCTATATGCCTTCAGATTTCAGCATTATACATTTTGTCCAGAGTTTAAAAAAAAAGAAAATTGTCATGTAACAACCATGCATTATTTTGTATAGTAATAATGAATAATGTCAGATATAAGATAAAAAAAATCGTTCAAATCTATATGAAAAATATTCTATGATGGTACACAGAGAAATTCAATCATTAATGAAAAGTAGAAAGACTTACTCTGCATCCAGACATCAGTAATGACCGGTAACCAGCACAAAATGTTGAATTCATGTTAATGTTGAGTTTCTGGAAATTATTAACTCTCGAACAGATTTTGTAACTCCAAATATGCATCTTGAGATTTCGTAGTCGTTGAACTGCCATATCTACAAACAGAATCATAGTTTTAGAAATCGAGTTCACTGGAAATTATGTAAAATATTTTATCAAGTTGATAGTGGTTTTAATAAGTCTCCATTAAACTGTTCAACATCTCACACCTGGCCATCTCTGGATCACTCAGTTAACCAGGGACACGTCATCTGGATAGACAATGACAAAATATCTAAAAGAAAAAAAGAAAGCAAGATAGGCCATTGAAGAATTTCAAAAAATGAATCAAGGCTAACATCACCTGCACAGAATGACATTTGAGAGCATCAATGAGGCATCTAAACAAGTAGGCTATTTTCCCAGTCTCTATTGCCATTGTCAAACCCAACAGACCACATCTATTTAACTGTTATTATAATAATAATATTATTATAATAATAATATAATAATAATAATAATATTATTATAATAATATTATTATAATAATATTATTATAATTATAATAATATTAATATTATTATAATAATATTATTATAATAATAATAATATTATTATAATAATAATATTATTATAATAATAATTATAATAATAATATTATTATAATAATAATATTATTATAATAATAATATTATTATAATAATATTATTATAATAATATTATAATAATAATTATTATTATAATAATGTTATTATAATAATATTATAATAATTAATTGTTATATTAATATTGTTATATTAATATTATAATAATTATAATAATAATATTATTAATAATTATTATAATAGAATTATTATTATAATTGATTATCAGGAGTTCAAGCTAACATTTTTTTGTCCTAATTATTATAATAATATTAAAAAAAATTGTTAATGTGTGTATAATGTGTGTTATAATATTATTATAATAATATTATTATTATTATATTAACATTATAATAATAATATTATTATAATTAATTAATAATATTATAATAATAATAATATTATTATAATAATAAATAATATTATAATAATTAATATTATAATAATAATAATATAATATAATAATAATAATAATATTATAATTATTATAATAATATTATTATATTATTATAATATTATTATAATATATATTAATAATGTTATTATTATATAATATTATTATAATATTTTGATTATTAAATAAGGCTATTATAATAATGGATAGGGGCTATTATACACATTATTATCAGATATTAGTTCAATTATAATAATAATCCATTACATTATAATAATAATATTATTAAATAATATTCTATAATATTATTAGGTAAACACATTATAAGTCTAGGTTCTATAGCTATGGATGATAATAAAATTATTATAATAACACTGTGAATTCAAATTAAATTGCATTGTAATTATATTATTAGTTATGGACCTCAAAGAAAATGGATTAAGACCCTCTTATTATCTGTCAGAATAAAAATCTCGAAAGATCATGTCTGGGTATTGTTACCTGAGTTATAAAAGGTATAATTATCCTTTGAAGAATCGGGAGGTATTCCCAATAAAACAGTGTGGCAAAGAATAATATTCCTCGTGATAAATTACTAGATAATTGTGGACAAGATTATTTGGCCTGTTCCAAAAGGATAAAATGCATCCTGAAAATTAATAGGGAGAAAATTAAGTTATCTGAAACCTCCTTAAGATGAGCAATACAATGCTTCAATAGCCATTTTCGAAAGGATTTATTACAGAATAAATGATAATAATGAGGTATAATGCAAATCATTAACAGTTGCATCCACAAAAAACATTTCTAAACATTATTTACATTGTTCTTTCATGTTACAAACCATCTTGAACCCGATATTATTAGCCATAAATAAATTTATTTTTGATCTCAGAGATATTACAGATAGACAAAACATGATTATATTTGTGTATTCCATTTATTTTTTAATAAATTTCGGTTAATTTTCTGTCTGAGACAAAATACGTTAATTTACACTGATTCCAAAAAAATTTAAATATATCAAATATCAAATACCTTTTGTAAACAATTGTTATCAACATTCGCTTAATTTGTGTTTTATTATCTATTTCATGTTTAAAAAAAAGACTGTTATAATATTATTTAGGTAATATGCCTTAAATGATTAAAAATTTATAATAAAATATAAATACTTTGTTTAAAATAATCTAAATTTGTCAATCAAATTATAATAATATGGAAACAATTTTCTGGTATTATATTATATTATACGGTTTTTATTAAATCTCTCAATTTTGCATAATTGTATTATAATAATATTATTATAATAATTGCATTTTATAATAATAATATTATTATAATAATATTACCTGTATTATTCTTTCTATATTTTTTTTGCCTTCATATGTAGGAATTTATTCCGATGATACCAAATGATATTATTATCGAACACAAATTTTCCATTTCATTGAAATAGATGTTAAAATTTATTAGAATAATAATCACTTATTTTTCATTTTAAAATGGTATTGATAAACATTTATTTTGAACAGGTTTTTGGCTTATTTTTATTATTTAAATATTACAAAGAAAAATAAGAAATTATTATAAATGAAATATTTGAATGAACATTATTAAAAACTCTATCTATATAAGGGGGATTCTGGTGTGTAATATTATTATTATTATAAAATGACATATTGGCAAATTATAAGATTTGCACCAAAATATTATTATGCATGGCTCCAAGTTAGTGAGGATGGTGGCAAACAGATTGGCTGAATGGTGGTGGTGAAAATAATTGATTTTTTTCATGATCAGTCCGGCAGTTTTCAAAGTTGGAATGCAGGTAATTATTTAAAGAGATACAAATGAAAACATTTAAAATTCACATGTTTTCCATTTCACTGAAAGTGATGAGCCATTTCTTTCTACCTTCTTTCTTTATTTTTTTGCACTAATGCCAAACACTTTGTCATCCATTATTTATGAGTTATAGGATTCTATTGCCCAGCTGAGATACAAAAAAAAAAAAAAAAAAAAAAAAAAAAATGATATAAAGAAAGTTTAAAAACTGACACAAAATGCTAGCAGCCAAAAAAGTGGTATTGTGGTGACTCAAGATCTGCCATTTGTGGCAAACAATTGGTGAAAAATTGACTGGCTTTTCCAACTGATTAGTCTAATATGTCTAGTGTGGCTTGCATCATTCCTCAAAAGTGGACAGGATGATTCTGATTCCCGATTTAATAAAGGTTCTTGAACCAAGAAGCTAATTTTGTTGTTAATTTGAAAAAAAGACATAAATTTGTTAAGTTATTCCATTTAAGTCCTTTTTTAAAGCTAAGTTCCAATTCCAGTTGTGTTCATTACATTTTCTTACATGCACATATCCTTGGGAAAGGTATTTATGGGTAAATAGCAAGACAGACTGGGTTCTATAACCTTGGAGGGCAACCAGTCTAGGAGAAGGCTAACTCTGTGTGTAGTCCTGGTGAAGCACATTTATCTAGTGTGATCAAAATCAAAATTTGATGTCAAAGCTCCAGCGGGTATATAAAGGTTCTGCTCAATGTATCAGTCATGATCGATTTTTGGATTTTGGGCAAAGTTCCATTCAGTTATTACAAATGCAATAGATACTGGGTTAGGGCAACCATAGGTAGTCTAGTCTTGTTTACTAATGATTATCTTGAGCCAAACATGATTTTGTAGCATGGTTTCCAAAGGTGCCACATGCTGGGATTGATCTCTATCCATTCCAATAATATCAGGAAATTTCCTTTCCAACTAATTGAACATGGTGAGATTCAAACTCAGGTCTCATGGTCAGAAATTGAACATTCTAACCACTTGGTCAATATGTATTAGAATCTGACAGAATGATAAGATAAGGAACAAATAGTAAATATTTATCAAATTAATGTTTCGGATTTAGTTAAGCTTCATCAGCAAATGAAATTCTGGTATTTTTATTTTTCTGCTGCATGTTTTTCATTAGTTAAACAAACCTCAACATACTGACAACCACCAAGCATAGCTAAAAATGTCTAGCCACACTGATGAGCTGTGATACAGTGAAACAGTCTATCGATTATATATGTATATATATATATATGAAATTATGTCTATTTATTTTAGTTTTAATCCTTTCAAGCCCAAATTAATTTCTTGTTGGCTGTCAAAAATTTATCAAGAAAATTTTGCTATTTTTTTTTTTTTTTCATCAATTTTCTGCATTCATCAAGAAATTAATTCATGGACTTGAAAAGTTTCAAACTAAAATATTTAGACATAATACGTCTAAATTATTTAACTAAACCTGATTGAATGAAAATATGCTGCCTAAACACACACACACACTATATATATATATATATATATATATAAATGCTGGTGGTAATAATACAGTACTTGTTGTAAAATAAAAGATCTAAAATTTATATTAATAATAAATATGCATTTTGTTCCTCACTATTTGGTACATTGTCAGACTCAGATTGAAAACTGATCATTATAAAATTTAAATATTAATATTTATAACCTAGTCTTATGAATCATATATAGATTTGGTAACTTCAACATGGTTTAATAGTTAGCAAGCTTGACTCACTAGAACAATTATGACTGAGTATCGAAGTTGAAGCCCTGTATCAACACTCAGATCTGGAGAAAGATAAGCAAATTTTATATTGGGTTGGTGCATAATTGTCAGGCGTTTTTGTAGGTAAGTTATTTGTTAATAAAAATTGCTGTTTTGTTTACTTTTTTAATAAAAATATTGTTTTATTTTCAGGTTATAAAAATGTATGTTGATAATCATACACTCTGGAAAAATCATTTAAAAATGTTATTGTTAGGTTTCTTTTTGTTTAAAAACGCCTGATAATTAAGCACCAAACTAATACAAACACAATTGCTAGATGTGAGGAGTTCATGTCTACTGGAAACAAAACTCAACATTACAAAATATAACAGAAATACAAACATGGGGAAGGGGTACATGGTGATAAAAGTATTTTTTATGGGAAAACTTGTCCAAATTTATTTTTATTTTTTTTTTAAATGCAGACTAATTTTCTTTGCTTCTTTTAAAAATTGGGACTAGTTTTGCTTTGCTTTCTTAAATTGGTCACAGTAGTTTTTATTTTTTAGATGAGGAATCTTGTCCAGACTTAGAAAAAAATAATTAACAAACAACATGTCAAAACTAATTCAAAAAAGAAAAATCAACACTAAGCAAAAGAAAAAAAAAAAAAAAAGTCCAATCATAAATTCTACTAAAAACTTATTAAATTCTTGTTCTTACTTTGATATACAATGTCCAGCTGTGACAAGCCATTGTCTGTTGATGAGGGCTGCTCCACAAGACATTTTCCCAATCTGTCTTAAGGATGCCATCCAAGGCCACTCGCCTTTACGGGCAAGGTTAGCTCCTATTAAATAGGAAGCCACAGAAAGATGATCATCAAGCAAAGGACGTCTACCACACACTGTAAAAGAAATAAATAATATAGGAATTAATGATAGCAAAAATATCAAAACATCCTTTTCTCCTATAATTTGTTGGATATACAGTCTAAATACTTATCCTTTATTATTAAATTCAGTTAGTCATTAAATGTTGAAGATCTTTAGCTTTCTGTTAATTGGCTTTGTTCTTAGCAAAATGTGTGTCTTGCAAGCAATACCAAATGATAGGGATTTGAATTTTATGATTGTATTAATGCTCACCACAAGCAATAAAATTCCTCTTTTGTCCCAAATACAAGTGCTGCCTGGAATAGACAGACCAGTGGGTATTTTTCAACTTATATATTTAATAAACTTTTTTTTTACAGTGAGGTTCACCCTGTAGAAGTCCCAGGGGCTACTCAAGAGGAGTGTTACAGAGTAAGAGGTATGGTTTATACAGATAGGTGGAGAAGATAATGGCTAAGGCTAGACTTGAACAGGTTGTTGTGATTGTGGAACCGACTCCCAAGAGGATTTTTCCTCAGAGTAGTGGCTCACAGGAAGAAGCTACTCAAATGGAACCTACTTCTCACCAATGGAATACAAAAGGAATGAGAGTGCTTTGCTGCAATGTGAGTTAGCATGGCAGATCTTAGCCCTAAAGGTTAGAAAGCAGCTCATTTGAGCACTTTTCATGGAAGTAGCAATAGAGTAGTGAGAAGCTTGCCACTTCCATCTGCAAGAGAGGGGTTTGCAGGGTGGAAAATAATTTATCACCCACAAAGACGCATTTGAACTCTATTGGGATTGGAAAGTGAGGACTGGGCAGCTCCTGCCTAAACATGACAGCAATACTCCATTTTCAGTCTGAAGATAGCAGATGCTCTCTAGAGCAATACAGAGAACTGACCATTTTTTTTCTTACACCTTTCATGATGGATTGTATGTACAAGTTTCACTTGAGGACTCGGGGGTGAGTTTAAGACAGAACAAAATAATTGTGCTGCAGAGAATAGTATTAGAAAAATAATAACTGTGCCATACCAAATAAACACTGTATTGCAGTTAGGGGGGGGTAAAAGAAATAATTTAACACTGCCAGCACTTGTATTTGGTACCCAAGAATATATACTTGCACTTATATGGCATTGGTAACCCAGAAAGTCAATGAATAAGATGAATACAATTAAAAAAAATGTATCAACTGTTTAAGTTACTGATTAGTTTATTTGGTGAAAAAACAAAAAGCAAATAATTACCTTTGGATTCACAGGTAAGAGTGAGTGTTCCATGAGGAGCACATGTGTTACTGGAAGAAGAAACAAAAAAAAAAAAAATTGTATCACCAAATAATATGCTTAATCATAATATAGGTTTCTACCACTATTCAAAAATATTTCCTATGAAACATTTTTTTTTAAACTTAAAATAGCATAAAAGAAGCAATTATTATAACTTTATATAGGACAATTTTTTGAGTGTTCCCAGACCTAAAAATAACCACACTTGAGGTATTTACTACAATTAACAGTATTGATATGATAACAGAAAAGTGTCAATTTTGAAATTTTAATGTTGAAAGGGAGCACAGTTTTATGGCAGATTTGAACTATATTTTATGTACCTACAAAAAACTGTATGATAGAAAAATCATAATATGATCAGATTTCAAGTCTTGCCCTGTATTATGGACATGATGAAATCACCCAAACGGCATGTTGCCTTCAAATATTGTTTCAGGAACCAATGATAGAACTGAATTTTATTCAAAAAAATGAAAATGTCTTCAAATCTTTGGAGCTCAAGATGAAATAGTAAATCCTCTAAGAAACATAGTGACATATAAAATAAACTTGATAGAGAAATCTGATTTCATATTTTCATTAATATATACAACAAATAGAGTGTTACTTACTAATTGTCTTATATAGTGTTTTAGATTAACCAAGATCAAAATCAAACCCTGAAGAAACCAAGTGTCATATAAAATAAACTTTATAGGGAAATCAAATTTCAAAGCAGATATTTATTAACTTATACAACAAATACAAATATGAAGGGTGCTAATGTTCTCAGCTCTACTTATGTTTGGTCATTGAAATACTGATTTTGGGAAGTGAGTCAAGCTGAGAAATTTCCAGTACTCACTCACTCTCTCATATATTTGTGTATTTAGGCAGCAATCCTTCTTTCATGCACATTTCATTGAATACGACAGACAAGGTGCTTTTATTTAGTTTTTTTATACAATTTCTCATACGATCTAATAATTTTCTTTTCGGATGACAAATTATATAAAAACTCTCTAAATGTTCTTTTTTGGCTAAACATTTAACTATTTTCAATGATTAAATATTTTAACTGTTAAATAAGAAATAGTTTGTTGTGTGTATGTTTTATAAAATGTTTTCATTTTTCAATTCATGGTCAAGATATTTTGTCCATGTTCAAAGTTAATATTATTATGGGTTGTTTTTTTGTTTTTATTAATAAGGCTTCCATTATTTTTAGCCTTTTTTTTTGCATGTAGATGATGGTATCAGTGTTGTCAACAAGTATGTTACGAATAGTGTTCAATAGGTCTCCATGAATATTATATATATATATATATATATATATATATATATATAATAAATGCAAATGTCAGTGTGTCACACTATTTCAACTTTACTCCTAGAGGCCATAGCCCAACATATCATACCATTTTGAAATCAGGCTGACTACATGAGCATATTAAAAACATTCTGGGCTGGATTCATGATGTGATTATTTTTAGCAATTTTTTTTTAACATGATTATCTGCAACAAATATTTATATAACTTGGGAATAAACAAAATTAATTGCAAAATCTAGCAAAAGTCACCCATGAAATAAAAATAATTGCTTGTACAGATGGTAGAAAAAATAAATTAAATTACAGCATCCCTCAGTCATGCACATGTGTAGCCACACCAACATAACAAATTTAGTCTAATGAAGTCCAAAGAGATGAAATGTGTCAAACAAAAACTTTTCAACTTTGTCAAACATTTTTTCTCCTCATATATATATATATATATATATATCAATTTGGGAAGCCAGAAAGGAGACAAATAATTTTATAAAATAGACTTGTAAACTTATATGAAAAAAAAAAGTAAAAAGGCTTTATGACAAAATATTTTTTTTTTCAGATAACCACCAATATTTTTTTTACTGTATATAATCTGTTAAATAAACATTTTTTCTTGAATATACTGTTGTGATGTTTGTTTTGTATTAGCATATTATTATTATATATATATATAGTCACACCAATATAACAATCTTAGTCTGAATATATATAAAATCATTTGATAGATATATATATCAAGAACAATATTGAGAGAAAAAGTCTTAGTGTGTTGTGCTTCATCAGACTAAGGTTGTTATATTAGTGTGATTACACATGTGCACAAATGAGGGGTCATGGGAATTTGTTTAGAGAGTGCCTTGATCTCAATATCATCCTCAGTAAATTTGTCCCCTGGCTCTTACAATATTTCACCATTCCTGGCAGATCTTCTATTATTACAGTGTGGGATTTCTAATAACAAAAGTGATGGAAAGAAAAAGAATCTAAATGAAATTGTCTAGATTATTTAAAAAAAAAAAAACAACAAAAAATAAAAATTCCCAGCATCCCTTGTTCATGCACATGTGTAGCCACACCAACATAACAAATTTAGTCCAATGAAGCTCTAAGGAACGAAATGCATCACGCAAAAACTTTTTTTCCACTTTGTCATACATTTTTCTCTCTGATATTGTTCTCGGTCTATAAAAATTTATATATCATTATGTCATGTTCTGTTGAGTGGCCAGCAACATCACTAGACTTCAAACCCCCTAATTTTTTTCTGTGAGGGCCATTTGAAATCAGTTGTTTACCAGATGAAATAAAAAAAAATGTTGAGGAACTTAAGAAAGAATTAAATATGGATGCAGTAATATGACAGGAAACTCACCAACATGTTAATCAATTATGCAAGTACAGAATTGAAATGTGTTTTGAAAAAGGAGGAGGACATTTTGAACAGCACATATGACAAGTAAATATCTAATAAATAAAACTTTCTGGTGTAATTTTGCTTTTAATAGATTATCTCTATGGTGCACGACTTTTGCCTCACCATATATATATATATATATATATATACACACTTTATTTAACTGTTTTTGTTCATGGATTGCAACTTATAGAAAATTGTTAGGTTTATGCAAATCACCAGGTACTTTGGGGAAATCTTGTTTCATTTTAATTCAGGCAAAAACAATATAAATTATTTCAGCTGTTGATCTAATTTGCAATTCTGCAACTTTAAACTTGACCAATATTTCTTTATTCTTCATATACAAATTTCCTCACATTTCCTTATTTGGCCATTACTCTTTTCTTCCCACTGACAATTTCAGTTGGTTTATTTTATCTAAATCTTGATGATCCAATTTTATCAGTTGTTCCACGTCTGATTTCTATCAGGACTTCATCTATTTTATTCTACTTTCATTTTCAATTGAATTTTTATTATTTCTGTCCAAGTTTCTGGGATGAGGTTTTATGATTTTTTACATTAGGACTATTGTCCTCATCTTTGGTGGTGTTATCAGAAATAACTAAGCAGTATTAAAACTAAAAACTAGACAAGATATCCCTAGACAAAGGCAGTGAAATGAGAACAGTCTACTCCTGTAGATTAAATAAAGTGTTCAGTTCAGAATTCCCTGGAGGTTACTTGGATCAATATATGCCTGATGAAACCAGTAACAGACAATGCTGAAACATGATAACACCACCAAAGATGAGGACAATAGTCCAAATGCAAATCGTGTAAATAATGAATTCAAGAACACATAGCTCAGCAGATAAAAGTTTTGTTAAAGTAATCCAGTGACATGACATAAAGAGTTGTGAGTTCAATACCTGGCCACAGCAGAGATGAACAAAAACTTGGAGAATTGAGATAACTGAAACTGAGATATCCAGAAAAGGCGTGGCATGTGGAATTAGAACAATCTACCTTGATGGACAAAATAATGGGTTTGGTTTGAAATTCCAACATATATCACCTGAAGAAGGTCGGAACATACAACGGACAAAACGTTATGACTATAACAATAAAGATGAGAACAACAGTTTGAATGATGTAAATAGTGCAAATAGAATTCTTATTACCTCAAAATAAATCTTTAGACTTTTTACACATCTGGATTTATCTTGGTATTGCATTTCTTTATGATAGAGGCCAAGTACTTAGTACGCATCTTAATGATTTTCAATTGTTTACTTGTAAAATTCTTGCTGGCTTGTGTCAGTTGCCTGACCAGGCTAGATTATAATTTGATAACTTTTTACAAAGTCAAAATTCAGAAAGTGTAAATATTTTCCCATGGAGCAATAGCCAATTGATTTAATGTACTTTATTTTATTTATTCAACAGACAACAAATTTCTGACATCAATATCAAGACAGGCAGACATAAAACAAGTTCATCTTTCACATTCACAAATGCTCAGCTATTTTTTCCCATAATTTAATAATAATTGCTTCTTCAATTTGTATCATTTCAATAAGCAAAGGAAATCTTTATCAATATTATAATTACTGTTTTGGCTGGTATTAAAATAGACAAGAAACAGTAAATGAGCTTACTCTATTTTTAGCATCTCAAGCAATGATGAAGGGCTTGTGTCTTTGAAGCTTGCTTTGCGCTTTTTGATTCGCAAATATTTCCCACTCTTTATTGGAGTCCAAAAATCACATGACATGTTGCTGCCAATGTTTCTACAAAGAGAATCACATCTTCATTACAATTCACATAATTATAGTGCCTAAAAGAAAATAAGATTATCCTTATGTGTATTTTCTTCACTCTCTCATGTCACTATAATAAAGCTGAACTTTTTAAAACCTTACAAAAGAAGTGCATATAAAGTAATATCAAATATTAAACAAGGGCAGATAACTGCCTAGTGCAGTGGACCAGATTCTGAGTTGCCATTTTGAAAAATCAATACTGAATTCATATTTTATGCACATTTGATATAACTCTCTGTATAAACTGCTCTCTAAGAACAATGGTTAAAAATGGCTTTGAGTGATAAATAATAAACATAGAATTGTACTTGGTTCACATACTTTTAAAATATTGTAAATAAACATTGCCAAGGGAGTCAAAAGTGTATACAGTAATAGTGGTGTCAAGGGAAGAACAAATTATTTTGACAGTTTTTTTTTTTTTGCATATACAAAAGCTAAACTTTGCCAAAGTATTCATAAACAAGAAAATTTCATTAGAAACAAAAATAGAGTGCTGAATTACTATATATTATCAATCTTTCCATATGGTAGTGAATACTGGACACAGAGATATGGTTTGATAGAAGGATGCTGAAAATACTATGGACAAAACACGTGAGCAAAGAAGAAGTTTTAAGGAAAATGGGACAAAAAGAACTTAAATCAGAAAAAAGAAAAACAGTTGAAATTTCTGGGACACATAATGAGGAAAGAGGGCTTAGAGAATTTGACACTCACAGAACATATGGCAAGAATGGAAGAGGGAAACAGTGAATGAGCTTGTGCAAATGTTTTGGTGGGATGATAAGAGGGAAAACACTGCTTAGAACTACAATGACAAGAATTTAAAATACAAAATCTTCAGTGTTTTTTCTGTATGTAGGCGATCATGACTCTCCACAACTTCCTATCCTTGTAGCTTTTAGCAATGTTTGTCTTTTTGATATCACTCCCACCCTCATGTTCTGCCATCCATTTACACAAGCTGGTCAGGTAGGTGGCCTGCTGCCTCCCCACATCCCTTTTGCCTTTGATATAAGCCCTCCTTTCTCATTATAGATCCAAGAAATTTGAAATATATTTTTCTGATTTTGAGTATGTCTTTTGTTTCCATTTTCCCTCGGACTTCTTCATTGCTTATATGCTCCGTTCATGGTATTATCCACCACTTTCTGTCTTGTTCTGCTCAGCTTGCTTTCAATGACTGAGTGTCAAATTTTCCAAGCACTCTTTCCTCATTATGTGTCCCATAAATTTAAATTATTTCTTTCTGATTATACATATTTTTACTTCCACATTCCTTAAAAATTCCTCGTTCTTCATGTGTTCCATCCATGGTATTTTCAACATCCTTCTGTAAAACTACATTTCTCTTGACTCTAATTTTCTATTCATCTGTGAAGAAATTGTCCAGCATTCACTGCCATATAGGAGGATTGATATTACACACTAGTTCAGCACTCTTTTCTTTGTTTCTAAGCAATTTACATACAATACTACAATCAGCATTCTTCTATAGAACCACATCACTGTTACCTCAAGTCTCCCCAAATTCTCCAAGCCCTCTTTTCTCACTTTATATCCCAGAAATTTCAACAATTTCTTTGTAAGTGTTTTTTTTGTTCCCATTTTCCTTAAAACTTTCTTGTATTCACAGTATCCTTCTGGAGAACTACCTTTCAGCAATCTTAAGTCTCTTTTTCATCTGTGAGGAAATAATATGGCATTCACTAATGTATATATGATATTACATAGCAGTTCAGCACTGTTTTCTTTGTTTCTAATGAAATTTTCTTGTTTCTTAGTACTTTGTTTAGCTTATGGAAGGCACCTTTTGCTATTCCAATGCATGCTTGATGTTGCATTTTCTATCCTCTGTTAAAACACTTCCCATATGTTTTAACAAAAAGTATTCAGGAAGCAAAACAAAACTTACCGATATCCAAGTAAATGGCAAAGTTTGTCCGAATAATCTTGCGTCCATTTTGTACAACAAATCATCATTTTTTCACCTTTCAGCATCACCTGAACTTGATGACTGGCAGACTTTGCTTTTGAAGCTTCCACAAGTTTCACTGTAGCAAAAGAAGCAAACTAATTGAACAAACAAGAAGGAAGTAGCAAGGGAAATCTGTATTATTTGCAATCAGCCGAATATCTTCATCTTTGTTGTTGTTATCACAACATTTCGGCTGTTGTGCCCTCTGGTCTTCTTCAGGTATCTTTTAATCCCAGTAACCTTCAATAAATTTCAAAGTAAACCCTTCATTTATTTTATGGGGGTGAATTGTTCCCATTCCATATATAAGGGAATCTCACCTAAAGGTTACCCAGATTGACAGATACCTAAAGAAGGATGGGGATACAACAACTGAAACATTGTGAAAATAAAAACAGACATTAATCTGAGTGCTAATAATGTAAATAATGATAACTCCTAATCTCTGAAATTCAAACAGAAATGAAAATCTGATGAACAATTTCAAGAATATTTTTAATCGATGGATTTGTTGTTTTTTTTTTACAGCTTATCAACCCTGAAACAAGTCCAACTATTTAATCTACAGCTGGGGAACAAGAAATGGATTTATAGCTTTTTTCAATAGTATTTATGTGTAATGAAAATAATGAATCCAACTGGAATTGTTCTTCAAACGTCTCCCTAGCTGTCTATTCTTTTTTTATTTTAAATGTTTTCTACTTTCAATGGCCAGAAATTACCAAGCCTGCTCCATGTCTATTTGATAACCTAGGATGATTAATCTATTATAATTAGCATTATAATTAGTCCATTCTTTGGTTTTAGAAATATCCTTACCTTGGGTTCATTTTGAAACTGTTTAATACCTCTGAACATAATAATTATTAACAGTTCAAAAGAGAGAAACTCCATGTATAAAATATGGAATTACATATGTTGTATGAGTTGCTATGAATGGGATTAAACATCAAAATATTTACATTGTTCAGACTATTGTCCTCATCTTTGTCATATTCAAAATGTTTTGGCTATTGTATGCTCCAGCTTTCTTCAGGTGATATACGTTGGAATTTCGAATTGAACCCTTTATTTCATCCACCAGGATAGATTGTTCTAATTCCTCATGCCATGCTTTTTCTCCCTTTAGTAACTCATATCTCCAAGTTTTTGTTCACCTCTGCTAGGTTACAAAAATCTCCTAAGCCAGCCAAGCATAGACATGAATACAATATGGAAGCCAGTAATACAGTGCTAGAAAAAAAATAACAAATTGTAATATGAGCTTTGATAAAAATGGTTACTGAAACATTAGGTTTATAAGTCCCAAAAATTCATACATGTTCCCAAAGACACATGACCAGTGGATAAAAGTGATGGTTGAAGTAATCCAGTGGTTTAACTCAAAGAGTTTTGAGTTCAGTACCTGGCCACAAAGGTGAACAAAAACTTGGAGAATTAAGTTACTAAAGGGAGATAACTGGAACCGAGATATGCGGAAAAAGCCCAGCATTTGAAACTGGAACAATCTACCTCAGTGGGCAAAATAAAGGGTTTGGTTTGAAATTCCAGTGTATATATCACCTGAAGAAGGCCGGAGTGTACAATGGACGAAACATCATGAATATAACAATAAAGATGAGGACAATAGTCTGAACAATGTAAATAGTTACATTACTTCATCTCAAAAATATAGACAAATATCAATATATTAGTTAGCATTTTTCTGTCTACTACCAATTATTTGGTTATTGTAGACTGTTATAAAGAAAACTCAAGATAATTTGAAAATTCTAAACACACAACAAATTAGTAAGAGGAGTCTATGATACAACACAATCCTTATTTTTGTTTTGTTTGTTTTTTACTGTCTTCATCTTTGTTTTTACCTCAGAATATTTTGGTTACTCTGTCCTCAGTCTTCTTTCCTCTGCATTTGTTTAGTTCAGAGTTTTAATTTCTTGTTTCTTGTCAATATACTTTTTAATGACTCATTCAATTTCACTATTTGCTAACATCAAATTGATTTTTCCCCACTTTTCTTTTTCTTCATTTATTTTTAACACCACTAGAGATTTGTAAAGGCCTATTGGTTGAAAGATTTATTTTTGGAACATTGGGGTTACCAATTGTAAAGGTGTCTGTTTGTAGATAGACCAATACTATTTATATTATTATACTTTCAACGTACAGGATTCAAGTAAACAACAAAAACTCCAAACTGTGAATCAACAAATATATATTGAAATAACATACAAGAACAAACATGCAATAAAATTGTATTCAATGCATAGATTAAGGGAAAGAAGTTGTTCCCCTTTAATTGTATTTTGATTTGTAATTGATTGTTTGAAGAAAGTTCTTTTTGAGAGAAAAATGTTCAGGAATCAATATTACAACAAGGTGCGTTTGTTAGAATAGATAACACAAGAATACAATTGATCAAAAATGTGTTGTGTTATAGAATGGTTCGAAATCAACAGAGTCTTGGTTGATTGAGCTTGGCTGAGTCACAGAGAGAAATGTAAGTTTATATTACGAAATTCTGTGTGTGTGTGTGTGTGTTTGAAATGTTATGAGCAAGATCGTGGACTTGTATGGACAGGTGAATTTTACTGGATCTTACTGACAACTTGTAAAAAAGTTGCCTATTTTATGGAAAAAGGGTAGGCTCCCAAGGTAATGCGGGAAAACTTAATTTTGCACTAAAATATGTGATTGGTTAAAAGTTAACCAATCACTACATTCGTACTAACAGAACAAGCAAGCAAGCTCAAAACCGAAGGATTCAAAGAAACGACTGCGATAGCTAAATTGTCCTATATAAAAGTAGTAGTGATTTATTAGCCAATTGCAGGCGAATAAAATGTGGGTGTGGAAAAACATAGCAATCGCTACAGACTCATTCTGAAGAGAGTGGTATTTTTTTCTTGTGTAGAAGTTTTATTCTGTTCACTAGCCTGTCTCATTAATAAGATTATAGGATATCAAAAACAAAACTCTGCACAAAAGTAAATTCATCTGGAGATGACTAGAGAATGGGCCAGCTGACAAATAAATAAAAACAGGACTGCAAGAACTGGGAGAGATAAAAAAAATATTATTAAATATTAACGATACATCACAAAATCTCAGACAAAATTGATTTCTTTTTGAAAGGAAAGTTGTCTATAACAGGAACGGCCAAACTTGCTTAATATAAGAGCACATATGATAAAGTTCAGATGTTTGAGAGCTTGTTGTATCTTGAGTTTTGGAGATACAGAAGGAAATAAATAAGTAAGACAAACTTGTAGGTAAATAATGAAATAGAAAGTTTACTACACAAAAGTACACTTAGCAACTGACCTAAATTGATTTAGATCAAGATATAGGTCAGATCCATTTTAAATCTTATCAGTGATCAGTTATGAAGGATCAAGAAGTAAATTATTACAGTTTCTGGTCTTGGAATGTGTTAACCCATATTAATAATTATATGATTCTGGGTACCTTGGTGAGGAGTAATTGTTAACAAGCTATTCTGATTGACCATTACTGCTGAGTAGCAAGCTTGATAGTTACTGGGTGCCTCATAGTTCTGGCCTTGTGCCCAAACAAATCTAAATTTAGTAAATAACATATATATATGTCAACCACTCAGAGTAAAGAAAGAAAACCCAAAACAAAATACTACAAATGCAACTGAAGACAAGTTCATGAACTCAAAAAGATATGTACTTAAATAGAATGTGTGCAAAGCTGTGTGGTTAGAATGTTCACCTTCTGACCATGAGACCCCAGTTCAAATCTCACTATAATTGATTTTTCAGGGCAGTGACTTCTTGATGTTATTGGTCTGGGTAGGCAATCACAGTATGCAGCACTGATGGAAAGTGCCTGAAAACCATAAGACCACAGATTGACCCAAACCTTGTGATTGAAATTGGGTAGTTATCATTTACCGAGGTTTGACCATTCAATTCTTGATCATAGCAGAAACTGTCACTAAGGTCTATTCAGCATCGTTGCAATGTAAACAACAGGTTGGCTCTGTGGGTTTACAACAAACAAAAATGTGCCTGAGCAGGCATTTGTAACAGGGATTGGCTAGCCACCCTAGTAATGTGCTTGGAAACAAGTAACCAGCCATTATTAATAAATCAATCCTGTTGACTCCTCTGTGGAGTATAGAATCACAACCTCACCATACTATGTGTTGCTGCAGTAGTTCCTATAGCAAGTAGGTTTTTAGGTGATGGAGTTGTTAACCCTGTAGACACCCTGTAGGGTATAGGGTGACAGATTCACTACACTAGGTGTTGCTGCTGTGGTTTCTATAGCAAATAGGTTTTTATGGGGTGTAGTTCTTAATCCTGTAGACTTTCCTGTTAAGTATAGTAACACAGCCTCACTAAGTGTTGCTACAGTGTAGCCTATATCAAGTAGGTTTTTATAGAATCAAGTTATTAATCTTGTAAAATATGTGGAGTATAGGGTCATAACCTCAACATGTTAGGTGTTGGTTGTGTAACAAGGATGTTTTTATGGGAGAAAATTGCTAAATTCATAACTAACCAATTTTGAATTCAGAGTTGTTGGTTTTCTAGATTGTTGGCCAACCAAAGCTAGAGAGCCTTGTCTACCCTACTTTTAATACTTATTGAGATGGATTCATACATTTCTAAGAGCATTTGCTTGAAAGTAAATTTCAACTCTGTATACCATACACATAACCTCACACTTCCTATTTTTTGTAGCTCTTAAGCTTTACCTTTTTACTATCACTCCCAGTCCCTGTTCTGTCATCCATTTACACAAGCTCGTTAGGTAGGTTACTCTCTGCTTTCCTGTGCTCTCAATATGACCTGTGAATGTCAAATTTTCAAAGCACTTTTTCTTCATTATATGTCCTAGAAATTTCAACTGTCCCTTCCTGATTATGTGGAAATGTCTTTTGTAGAAGTATTGAAAAATAAAAAAAAAGACATTTCCACATTATCTTAAATCACTTTCTGAGTCACTTCTAAGGAAAGAAAACTGGGAACAAAGAATTTTGTCTTGAAATATATCATCAGCCACTCTAAGGTAATTATCATTTTCACTGCCTTTTCAATTTGTTTGAATGACAGTCTGATTCCCTGACAGAGTAAAGCAAAGTAATTTGGAGGGAGATATTCTGTCAGCCATACTTAAGTAGTAAAAACATAAAAATGGCTGCCATTTAATTCCCAATCTTACAAAGAGGAACAAGAAAAAGTAGGAATAAATTGGAAGACATGAATAATAAAAGAGAAAGGCAGATTGGTTGATGCAAGGAGACTGATAGAAGGAAAGATATAGACGTTAAGAGAAATACAATGCAATACATTTACATTATACATAAAGGAAATATTTGGCATTCATTAACCAAGTAGTCACTACTGGTTTCAGTTGAAATTTATAAAATCTTTCTCTTAAAACAATTTTCCTGGAAAACTGGTTTCTCAAAAACATTATTTTATCATCAAAATTATACATATATGAAATCAAGCGAAAAAAATGTTAATGGCCAGGAATTAATACAGGCATTACTGGCAGAAAAGGACTATTATATGTAGAACATAAATATTTTGCTAACAAGTTTGCTATATAAATCCATGGAAAATCAGAGAAAAGTCATTGTTAATGATCAGAAATTGTGCAAAAGCTGTTCATGGTTATGTGTTATTGACAAAATACTCAAACAACAATAAGAAAAAGAACAGGGGAAAATAATATTTATATATATATATATATATATATATATATATATATATATATCAAAACTATGCAAAGCAACAGTAGTAAGGCAAAAAGTTCACAAAGCAGGTGTTCATATGCAAAAGAAATATAGTCAAGTGTTAATAGCATTCTAAATTCAAGGTAAGAAAGAACAAAAATGTGAGCAATTAAACCAATAATTGTTGAGTTTTATTTGTTATTAAGAAATCCCAGCCTGCATCTGTAGAATTTGTCTATAAATTTGGGGAGGAAAGTGTTCATAGGAGACATTCCTAATAGAGTGGAACCAACAGGAATTAATATAAGTAGAATAGGCCTATTATATGTAGGACATAAATGCATTGCTAATGAATTTACTACATAAATCTTTTGAAAATCAGGGAAAGAGTTTGTTAATGGTCAGGAATTAATACAAGCATGACTAGAAGGAAATACCTATTATAATGTAAATTTATTGCTGATTTTGTGGTGTGGATCCTTCTTTGTCAGGACAAAAACTTCGGTGCCCTCTTGTGTGTGTGTGTGTCTATAAAATTCTCTTGATGACTGAAATATTAATCCATAGCCATTATTTCCAAAACTTACCACAATCATCCTCATCTGAGTGGTCATCACAATGCACAATTCCATCACACAGATATGACTTGTCTAAACAGCTTGAACCAGAATCACAACGAAACTCATTTGGTCCACAGGTTAAAAATCCTGAAAGATAACTCATCATAATCAATATCTTTATTGGAAAATTACTAACTTGTAAAATCTTCACAATGCAACAGTACAAGTGTTAATTAGAAAACCACAGAAATCAGACAGACATTAATTATTAAATTATTCATTGTTTACAATGATTCACCAAACAAGAAAATAAATTATAAGAAGTAGTTAAAGAATACCTTTTCTTGTTTGCTAAGTTTTTGGTTTGAGAGATTTATAAATTTATCAAAGGAATACCTAACATATAAAGTTGCTTTATATGAAATAAACATGATTAAATGAGACAATTTCTTTAAGCATACTATTTTATAAAGAATTGAGCCAAATTAATTTCTTCTTTGTACACATTATTTTATAAAGAATTGAGAAATATAAAACAAACACTTAACAATAATTTCCTCAGTCAACTAGAAATGAATAAAATTAGAAAAAATAATTTGACTCCGTTCTTTATAAAATAATGTGTATGATGAAGCAATTTTTAAAAAATTCACCAAAAAACTATTCAGATATAAACACAAATAAAAACACTTAATTTATTCTACCATAACTAGATGCATTAATTGTAAACAAGACCATTAAAATATAATTTGTCTGTATGGTATGATCACTTAATGCTTCCAATAAATACCTTAGATTTATCATTTATTATAAAATGTTTAAAACATCTAACCTAATTATTACTAATAACTTGAGATTTCAGAAATATTCCTATATAAAAACTATGTTGGTAATTGAATTTTCTTGTCATTTGGGAAATTGCTTTTCTAATATTAATTTAAAAAAAAAAAAAAATATCAATGAGTTTCTAACATTAGTTACACAAAACCAACATTTTCTCATAACTTGTCACTTAAGAACCTTAGAGTAATAATCAAACATATCAATCATCAATTCATAAACAACAGAAATGCAATAATTAACATAAGACAATACAATATAACATTTGTTGTAAAAAAACAAACAAAAAAAACAGATTCATAATTCATAATATTTAAAGCTATTATTCTACAAACAAAGATAGACTACAATTCAATGGTTTGAAGCCACCATTGTAATTTTTTAAATTGGCTCCAAAAGTAGTTGTTTGTACTTTAAATAAGAGAAATTATTATACATGGTTAAAAAAAGATATTTTATTCTTCTTCTATGTGCCATGTTCCTTCAGGATACAGAACGTCGTGGAGAGCTATAATCACCATTTAGTATATGTGCATTGTTGGTAATTTTACTAGAAATATGTATTGTTGGTCATTTTTTTTATATAAAAATATATTGTTGTTATTTTTACTATGAAAATGTATTTTATACGTTCATCATATTTTGTTTTTGTTGGGTGGGGGTTACTATCTGCCCATACCTAGGACCTTAAAAGGTGCTATCACCCAACGTCAAGGTGAACCTGGGAACAACAGCAATCAAAAGGGGGTCCCATGCTCAAAACTTCCAATCTCTTGATCAAAGGCCTTGCTGCCAGATGTAATTTATCATCATACCCAGAACTATACATTGTTTATATTTGGACTGGTGTTCTAATCTTCTGCCTGAATTTCTGTGATGAAAAGTAATCATTATTTACATTTGGACTAATGTCCATCTTTTTTGCAATCATCATTCAACCAACTTCTGTCTGAATTTCTAGGATGAGGATTGATCATTATTTATATCCAGAATAATTTCCAAATAATTCTTGTTATTATCAAAGCATTTCCTCCAAAGAAGGCCAGAGGTCAAAGTAGCCAAAATATTTTGATAACAACAACAAATGTTTGGACAGTAGTCAGAATGTAAATCATGCCAATAAGGTACATTATCAGTTACTAATAATGACAAAAAAAAAAAGGTCAAATGATTTTTTTTTCTGTCACTCTTTTTACAGAGTACAACACTGATTCTAAGTGGAAATATCCAGGGAATGACAAGATCCTTAACAGGATCCTGTTAATTTTCCCACTGAAAGTTCTCCACTGCCTTAACCGGGTATTGAACTCATACTCTTTGGCTCCTGTCACTGGATCTAACCAACGCCTTTATCCACTGTGTCTTGAGGACATCTGTGTATGAATTTCTGGGTATTATAAACCTAATAAAGTTGTAATATGAGCTCTGGTAAAAACATGATATAATAACAGCAAAAATTGCAATATGAGCACTGGTAAAAATGGTTGCTGAAGACATTAGGTTTCAGAGGGAAAATTAACAGGAGATAACTAATAACTGACATCCATTAAACATGGCACATGGAACTAGAACAGTCTACCCCAGTGAGCAAAATAAAGGGTTCAATTCGACATTCCAACCACCTGAAGAAGGCCGGAGCATACAACGGCCGAAACGTAATAAAGTTCGAATAATGTAAATAATGTAAAGAAGTATTAAAGAAAATGGAAACAAAAGGGACACTTATACTCAGAATCAAAAAGAAACAGATTAAATTTCTGGGATACCAAATGAGGAAAGAGAGCTTGAAAAATTTGACACTCACAGGACATATTGAAGACAAGAAGAGCAAAGGGGAATAGTGAGTAACCTTACCTAACTATCTTGGAAGGGATAGTAGGAAGTCAAATATTGCTTAGAACTACAAAGGATAGGAGGTTGTGGAGAGCCACGACAGTATACATCCCAAATGAACAAAATACATAAAAGAAAAAGAATGATAATATCTATACATCGATAAGTAAATGTACTTACCACAATTTATTTCATCAGTTCCATTATTGCAATCTGGGTAGCCATCACATTCCCAAATACGAGGGATGCATACAGGAGGACCCCCACCCTCACAGGAAATTTCACGACCTTGGAGACAGACTGAAAATATTACAAAGACAAAAATCAATACACAAAACCAATTAAAAGATTGTTTTTTTTTTAGTTTTTTTTAAATGCCATGTCTCTTTAGGATGTAGGCATTCATGTCTCTATATAACTCTTTACAGATTTTTTTTCTTTATTATCTGTAAATTGTCATGCATACTTGGGAAAGATAGTGGAGTGGTTACCTTTGCCTTCTCCATGGTTTGAAATTGAGCATTTTCAATCTTAGACTGTTTGCCACCCAAGGGCATTAGTGCAAAGGTGAACCTAATAGACTAACCCCGAATTTGAATTTGGCTCACCAATATCTGTTGCTATGACCACATGACCTAAGAATATAACATCATGCAAAAAACTGTTCTCTCATGATCACAAGACCCATCATGTATTAGGGTCTTAAGGGCAGTAAATGTACTGCAGCCGAAGCAGTAGTGGTGTTTCCTGGGCAAAACAGTCTGATGTATCCTGACCCTTTCTAGGCTGGTTTTGAATTCAGAGTTTTTCCTTCTCCTAGATCAAATGCAACCAGAGGATATAGAACCCAGTCTGCTATTTACCCATAGCTGGAAGGAGTGGGGGGAGAAGAGATGGATTCATACTTTTCCCCAAGGGTATTAGCACGTAAGTGAATGTAATGAACTCAACTAGAATCTAAAATCAGCCCTCCAATTCCTCAATCTGAAATGCAATCCATTACTCCACTGTGCCTCCACAATCATTGTTCTCTATTGGCTGCAATTTTATGACAAGCTAAAGTAATATTCTTAACACTTTTAATGCTGCATTGTTGTCTGGCTGTGCTGGCCTGTTTTGGGAAAATAGGAAATTATCATTTGCTAGCAGTAAATGACTACAAGGATGGCTGACATGGATTTCTTCTGGATTCTGTCATTTTAGATTCATTTGGAGACTCTGCAGTACAGGTTAAGTTAAAAAAAACATCCCTAACACACAATAAGAATGCATCACAAAACAAGTTGTATGCTAGTATATTTCTATGCTTTCTATACTAGTTTGAAAATAGCACTAAGTTCTAGTTAGTTCATAACACAATCACTAGTTATCAATATTTCCCTGTGTCTTGGAAATGTATACATAGGTCAACAGCAAACAATGTAGGTTTCATAAAGACAAATATTACATCCACAGCAGTGGAAGTAGTACATGTTAAGTAGCAAAAAGTAAGTAAAACTGGATGTAAACCATACCACAATTAGTTTCATCACTGTTGTCATAGCAATGGTCCTGTCCATCACACCAATTAGATGAAGGAACCTGGACGCCATTCTTGCAAAGACGATGACGTGGCTTCCATGCTAGAAAGGAGAAAAGGTAAAAGAAAAAAATAACTTATCACAACTCAAAAACAGTTATTCGTCAAATTAATAATTTGTGTATTCCAGTATTTTTTTTATTAATCTGTATATTATTCAAAGTACTTAGCAAAGTAGATGCTTGCTATATTTTTCAGAACAAGTAGCACCTGGTATTCCCAAGTGGTCACCCATCTAGTCACTGACCAGTTTCAACATTGCTTAACTTCACTGATTGTACAGGAATAGGCATTTCAAAATGATGTGACCATATGCCTGAATAGCCAGGGTCCTTGCACAAAACCATAGTAGGCTGGTGGTTAAAATCGCATAAATGCACTTAGTAAATGACAAGACCATTTATATCTAGATTGCAACTATTTATAACAAAGAATAAAGTAGAGACCTGACCATAATTATAGAGTCAATGTCACCTGAAGCAACATGATGAAATAAAAGAATTCTAAAAATAAAATAAAATATAGATACACACACAGTTATCACCTACCCAAACCTACTTATCTGCAGGTGAAATGTTCCAAGATGCTTGTATCTGACTAATACTGAACACTATATGTATGATATTTTTATCTTTGCATATATACCTAGGTGATGCATTGTTCATTTTTCCTCAAATGTATATCACATCTAGTAACCTTTGAATCTAATCCATCATGTTTCTAAGAAGTTTTAAGTTGATTATATTGGAACCATTGATTATTTAACACTCTCATGTCATTTTTTCAAGTCCATGAAACACTTTGCTAAAGAAAACTTGCAATATCAAATCAAACTGTCCAATAAAAATAATTCCATTATTCAACTTTGCTTTGATTGACACAAGGTACAAGCTGCTTACACTACCTGATGTTCCTCATTTGTCATCCATCTAAATGTTGAACAGGTTTTATATTGCTTAACTTCAGTGATCAGATCTTTCAACATCACCCAATCAAAAGTTAATGATATTTAAGTTTTGCTTTGACTAACACAAGATCACAAGCTGCTTACACTACCTGATGTTCCCCAATTGTCACTCATCTAAATGATGACTAGGTTTTATATTGCTTAACTTTAACAATCAGATAAGAACCTGGGTTTTCAGCATCATTTGACCATAAGTTAATGATATTTAAGTTTTTCTTATTCAAGGTTACAGCACTTAGTATTCCCAAGTGGTCATCCATCAAAGTACTGACCAGGCTTGATGTTGCTTAACTTTGGTGATTAGAAGAGAACTACTACTTCTAGGTATGCCTACCTTGATGTCAAAGTCACCTGCGATTGATGCAGAAGTCTTGCAATATGATACCATGCTTGAGTGCTTAGCTATTTTATACCTTTATACCATTCTTGGCACTCAAATATCCTGCAAGCCTAGCATAAACTGATATGACATTTCTACAATCATTGCAGAACAGTCAACTGTAGTAAAAAAGTGCAGGTTGGTAAAAGAATTTTCCCATATAAATTAACAGTAATTGCTTATTTGACATGATTTGGGCTTCTGTCAAGTTTCATAGGAAATCTGTAGTTATAAACATAACTACATTGATTTCTGGCTGAATCCCTATTCTTTTTTTTTTTTTACAGTTGTGTTTACCCTGTGCAAAGCCCTGGAGCTACTCAAGGTACAAAGTTACAAGGTAAGAGGTACAGCTTATGTGGATATGTGTGGAAGATAACGGTTAACCCTAGGCTTGAATAGGTTAAGATTATAGTGATCAGGGAAGGAATCTCTTGGAAGTCAGTTCTGCAAGGCAGCAGTTTGTGGGAAGAAGCTACTTAAGTGGAACTTACATTTCACCAGGGAGATAAGAAGGGAATCAGGGTGGTTTGCTACAATGTGCATGGCATGGTGGTTTTAGCCATAAAGGTTAGGACTGCTGGAACTAAGGATATACCATTATACCTAGATATATTTCATTGCTATAATTTTTAGGCTTTATTTAGGTCTCTATCAGAGTTGATAACTTTCTGGGAATTTCAAATTGAACCCTTCAATTCAAATCCACAAAAAATCCCATTATCTTGTGTCAATTAATTCTTTGCAGTAGATTCTTTTTAATGTCACACTTTATTTTTTCATGAAAATACTTTTGTCAGAGTTAACTCCTCCTTTAGTACATTAACCCTTTCACCAGGGGTCTCTCTTCCCTGGCTATAAATAGCTGCTGACCCTTCGCCTCTATCTCTTTTTCCTTCAGGCCTGTGCGCCGACACCTTGAGGTAAATCTCTCCTTTTCATCAGGCTTTCAGCTTACAACCTCGAAATGTAGGCGCTAACAAGGGATAGTGTGGAAACACGCTAAACACAATACACAGACACACACATACAGAATATTCACACACACACACGCACATACAGAATATTCACACACACTTCGTCCTTTGTACTGTTTCCATGTATTGTAACTTGTTATTAATATATATTTGTATATACATATATTATCGGTCTTGTGTTTTGTTTGCTTTCTTTGCCTTCTTCTTTGGACTTAATCAGAGTCCAACCTTTTTATGTAGTTGGGCGCGGCGAGCAGGAGTATCTGAACCTTACATGCGTTTCTTCTACATCTGACTTCCCAACATCACAGCCACGGCCCTCTACACTTTCACCGCCTGAGGCAGGGATTGAACTTATAACCAACAAGTAATTAAATGCACTTAACCAATGCTTTCATCATGTAAGACAATCAAGAAGAAGAATCTTGAAGCTTAAAATTCAATGTCTAATCTTTCTTAATAAAAAAATTTACTCACGGCAATCGATTTCATCTGAAAGGTCTTCACAATCAATTATTCCATTGCATCTGTAATGAGGTCCCCAGAGACAAAGTCCAGACTTGCATTGAAAACCTTGGCACTCTGGAGAAAGAGAAAAAAAAAGAGACAGATTTAAAAGATATCAAGAAAAAGAACTCAAATCTTGGCTTTAATACTGACAGTTTAAGCAGAAAGAAGTTGATATCTGACATCTTATTTCTTTACTCTATTTACAAAATTTGGACTGTTCTTCTAATCTTTATTGCCATATTCATGATGCCCTGACCTTCTTCAGATGATATACATTGGGATTTCAAACCAGATCCTTTATTTAGTCCACAGTGGGTAGATTGTTCTAGTTCCACGTGCCATGCCTTTTTTGGATATCACAGTATCAGTTGTTTCCCTTTACTAACTCAACTGTTCAAGTTTTTGTTCCCTCTACTGTGGCAAGGTATAGAACCCTCAACTCTTTGTGTCAAGTCACTTTTTGGGTTACTTCAACCAACGTTTTTATCCACTGGGTCATATGTGCTTGGGGACAACTGTCCAAACAATGTAAGTAATGTAAATAGATCTTATTTCTTCTTTTATGTGACATAGGAAATTAGAGAGAGTCATAATTACAATACTTTGTAGCTCTTAATAATGTTAATCTTTTTTTATTATACCTCCCATTCCCCATTCTGTCATCCATTTACACAAGCTTGTTGGTAGGTTACTAGCTGTTTTCCACTGTTTCCTTCATTATGTCCTGTAAGTGTCAAATTCTTCAAGCCATCCTTTCTCATTATATATCCAAGAAATTTCAAATGTCTCTTTCTGATTTTCAGTATGTCTTTTTTGTTTCCATCTTCCCTAAGACTTCTTTATTGCCTATATGCCCCATTCATAGTATTCTCAGCATTCCTCTGTTTTGTTCTGCTCATCACATTATTCTCAGAAATATTCTAAATATTCTTTCGGTTTTCATCTTTCCTTAAAACTTCTTAATTGCTCGCATGCTCCATCCATGGTATTCTCTGTAATTTAAGCGATATTATAGTATTTTGTCTGATCTAATTTTAAATTTTATCATTATGTTCTAGGTTTCTCTTTATCTTGTGACAATAACGTTTGCTGAAGAAGGATTCTGAAAAATTATATTATTTATTGGGATATTTTTTGTGTATGCCATATTCATGAAATGTCAAAAAATCATTGCTTTCACCATTTTTACTATTTTCAGGACCCCCACCCCCAAGAACTTGCTGAACAAAATATCAGAGACAATAGCTAAACGTAAACATTAAAGTAAATCTGTACTAACACAACGGAAACTGGGAATTGAAAATTAAAGTAAAAGAACTCCACCCAGTGATAAAAATTAAATTAAAAAAATGCATATATGCAAATTTTGGGGACAGGTGACAAAGTGGGACAGTAGAAATATTAGTGAAATTCTAAGTTGCATGAAATGAAAATGACCAAACAAGTTTGAAAATGTGGAATATTTATATCTGCAATATTTATATCTTTTTAAAATTAAACATTCTTTTCTTTAAAACAATTTTTCATGAAAATAGGTTTCTCAAGTCCAGTAACTGTTATCACTCTTTCCAGTATTGATGTTTTTTTTTCCTTAACTTTTACTTGAAGTAGTGTGGAATATCAACATCTTAATTATGTCATTAACAAATTAATCAATACAAAATAGCAAACTCCTAATACATACTACAGCCAATTTCATCAGACCGATCTTGGCAATCCTGAAGCCCATTGCACCTGCCAGATTCTGGAACACACTGACCACTGGCGCAGCGAAACTGACCTTTATGACAGGCTGTAAAAATATAAAATTTAAAAAACAACTCATTTATCAGGGGCCAAGTCAAACATTGCTTACCCATATCACAAAAATATGATAGCAGTATTTAAGTCATTTTGTAATTGTATTGTACCTATCCCAATAATTTTAAATTGCTTGGTATTTCTTGTTTGTATTCAGTATATCATAGCAACATGCTGCTCTGTTAGGAGTCTGTTTGCTAAAACGGAACATGTGTTCTTGAACAGTTTGTTTGAGATTATTAATTCTGTGCATCATTTTGGAGATATTTTATGATTGTTATCCAAAACAAATACTATTTCTTTTCTGTTAGTAGTTTTGTTATATCCAGTTAGGCTATATTTCATAACCTAAGGTTATTTTTATGACTTTTTTCATAACCGGAAGTAGCTTCAAGATTTGTGAATATTGTGATGTTCTTATGCAATAAAATCAGCATGCTGATTTGAAGTGCCATCAAATTGTCGTATCTGTTCTGTGACCTTGACCAGCTAAGACAAGCTTTGTGTCTGATCTCACATAAGCATGACTGGGTAAATTTTGACCAGTGGCCCAAATGTTTGTACTCGGGTTCCTCATGTTAAATATCTGACCTTGTGTCTCATCCTAACACAGTGGGGAGTCTGGTAAATATAAATACTGAAGACGTCTACTTGATCTTTGTGAAGATCATTGTGTAGTATCTGTTCCAGCAAACAGTAATAGTAGCTGACATTGCCAACACAAACTTCTGCTACCCCAACTAACTCCAAACTGACTTCAATCTACCACATTTTCACCTGGCACCTAAGTCTTCTATCTGCTGCATAATATGCTGACCCTGTCTTTTTCAGGATAAACCTAAGTCTTTTCCCAGCTGCATGATATGCAATTACTACCTGTCCTTTTCAGGACAAACTCAGTCTTTTCTTACTACATTATATACAATGTTCAACTGTCCTCTTTAGGGCACAAAGTCTTTTACCAAATACACTCAGTGATTCAGTCTCCACTTCCCTGCATCCCTTCATCTTGTTGATCACAATGGTTTCAACTGCCTACCCTGGGATATGACCACCAGCTAATATTATTATTACTAACATTATATGCAATGTTCAACTGTCCTCTTTAGGGCACAAAGTCTTTTACCAAATTGGCATATTTTTATCTAAACACCTGATTCTAGCTATCTTTCCTTGGCCAGTGTCATTTCTTCATTTTTAATGTTTGCAGGGATCGTCTAACATAGATACCTGGTCCTCACAACAAGTAGTACCTGAATATTAAACTAAAAGTAAAATTAATATCACAATCAACAGTCCGCTTTGTCTCAATGCTATAAATGAAAACAATTATAAGTGAAACTTATTTTTGATATATACATTTTTTAAAACACTTTAAAAAAATGAAGACATTGAAATAATTCTACACACAAAATATATCTATATATGTATACACAGTGTTTTCTGCAAAGAATTAATTTCTTAATACTCTTGTTTATGAGGTGAGCAGTTTTTAGAAAAATTTTGTTCAAATTCCAGGTTAGTCTTTTGTGTTTTGCATGAATGTCCTTAGGAAAGGCAAGAATCCATCTCTTCTCTACCCAGCTATGGGTTAAACAGCAGGGTAGACTGGGCTCTCTAGTGTCAGGTGGCAACCAGTCTAAGAGAAAGAAACATCTGAATTCCAAACCATGGAGAAGACAATGAGAAACTACTTGACTATTGTTCTCAATAATGCATGGCAATTCCCTGATAATAAATAAAAGGAATCTGTAAAAGAGTCAGTATCGCTTACATCCTGAAGGGACATGGCATTTAAGATGAGAAAAAGGTCTTTAGACATTTGGCAAAACAACTGTATACTCATCATAGAGTTATAAGATAAGGAATTATTAAAGAGTTGACCCAGATGCAAAATTACTCTATATCTGCTAAGTGAATTGATTATAAAATCATCTTGATTCAATGGCAAATTAATAGTCAAACAAATATTTATGATTAACCATAAAAACAAACGCAATTTCAAAATGTATTTATTTATTTACGTTTATTTATGTTCATGTTTTTTTTTCTCTTTCTTTCTTTTTTTTTTTCTTAAAATGTATTTATTCTGTGTTTAAATAATCACAAATAGTTGTTTTTGTAAACCACTTCATTTTGGAAAATGGTTTCAATTCATCTAGTTTTCTAGCACAGGGAGAAAAAAAGTAAAATATTGTCTGTAATTATTTTTAGATAATACGTTTTAATTATTATTATTATTATTATCAATATTTGCTGCATTTCATTATTGTCTTCTTTTATCACAACACTTCTCAATGGATATGCTCTTCATTATTAGTTTATTACAGATTTTATTTCATCTTATTATTGTTGCATTTTATTGTAATATTCTGTGTCTATATACATTTCATTAATAATAATTTTTCTGCACTTTATTATTGCTGCTTTTTATCCTAATAATCTGGGTTGATAAGCTCTTTAGCCTAAGAATATACAATGAAAAAGAAAAAAATAAAATCAAAGAAATAAAGAGCTTTTGTAAAAACTTTCATGGACGTCACTTTAACCACTTCAGTCATAGAACCTTCAAGAGTTAAGCTGGGGGAGATTGATGGGATAAAAATTTGGCCTTGTAAAATATTCACCTCATCCCTGAAGAAAAAGGTAAGGAAAAGACAAAAATATTCACCTCATCCCTGAAGAAAAAGGTAAAGAAAAGACAAAAAAAGAGAGTGTAAATTAAAAATTTTATATTCCAGAAATTGTTGAGGTGTTTTACATTTGATCGAGTTTCAAATGAAGACAGTTTTCATATAACAGGAAATAGAGGAGACCCAGGCAGATTTCTTAAGTTTTTTTCTTACTACTTTGACTATCACACAGATTGACTACTTGATATGTACTTGATATTTATACATGTCATGCAGATAAAGTGCACACAAGAATACATGTAAATATCTAACAGAAAAATGCTCAGCTCTATTTGAATGTATCTTACCTGAAGTGTATAAAATTTGTAATAACACAACGACTACAGCTAGTTTTTGCAAGATCAAATGAAAATATTATGAAAGCTTGTAGTAAATACTTACTGCAGTTGCTTGCTTCATCATCAGCATCTGGGCAGTCTGGCTTTCCATCACACAACCTTATCAGGGGAATACACATGCCATTTTTGCATTTAAAGTCTGTATCGCGACAGGCTACAGGAAGAAAAAAACATGATTGCTACAAATGTATTACATTGGTAACCAGTTATTGGCAAAATAAAAATAAATTTGATGAAAAGCAGACAACACAAAATATGTAACAAAAAGAAACTGTTCAAAATATTTAGAAAAAAGTCATTTTTAAAAAAAATTGAAAATGGTTTTAAAACCATTTTCAATTTTTTTTAAAAATGGCTTTTTTCTAAATATTTTGAACATAATGGGATTAAAATTTTTGATTTGCTGGGACATATATAGCCCAAAGTTTCAGACTTTTGGGATAGATATGTTTTATACACATTTTTTAAAAGTCTGGTGAGATGTATGTATCACAAAAATAAAGTAAATGACATTTATCTGAGCTTTTATGACCACAGATAATGATGACACCATAGTATGAAACTGAGAAATTTGTTTGCGTTACATGACAGAACAGGGAAAAGGTGTACTGCATATACTTGTGTATAAGCCAACTTCATGTATAGTCTGACACCTGAATTTTTATCCCTCCAGAAAATAATTTACCTGTTTATAATGTAACCAGTCACTGAAAATGAATGATTTTTAACCTCTTCAAAAAAAAGAAAAATGACTTGTGTATAATGCAACTCCCTATTTTTTGTGTAAAAAAACTGATCATAAAACTTGTACTATACTCAAGTATATACAGCAAGCAAAGTGATGCACTAAGTCCATGTTTTTCATCCTAAGGATGAGTAAAGAGTCAGTAATTTTCTTTACACATGATAGATATATTAATTTGCATATATCATCAAAACATGACAATAATATTGTTATATAGGAATAAAATGTTGCTGTTGACACTGGAGTTTGAATACAGACCACCAGAGAGCAAACACAGGCGATCCCATTTTGAATAAGTAGATCATGTGATAGTAAAGGAAATGTATATATGGGAATTAGTGTGATATCTAAGGGATCACTATACGGATCACTATTCGGCGTTTACCATTCGAGTGAGTATTATTGAGCAAGTACTATTAGTGTGAGTGTTATTTGAAGGCATCTGACACCAGTATTGTTCAATGGTGTTACTATAGTTGTATCTGCAATTACAAAGTCTCTACTACAATGAGCATTACGAAAGTGACAAGTATTCATTGACATTACAAAAGTGGCAAAAAGTGTTCATTTGACATCACAAAAAATATTTATTTCACAACTGTTTTGGATAAATTTTCTGTACAATTTTTAATACAATTCTTTTATTGCATGTGAGAAAGGGTTTTGCTTTTTAAATCGTTACAAGTAAAAAATATTCCACCCCCAAATTAATACAAAACAAAAGTAAAAAGCAATAAACTAGCAACTTTTTTCTCATTAATGAAATATTCCATTGTAATGGTAACAGGAGGCATATTTGTTTATTGGTGTTCAGTAATGCCATAGAATATATCATTTGTAAGAAGAGGAGATCAGGATGTGTGACCAATATAAAGCCACAAGCTTAGGCAGGATTTTCTTCATATGGGTGATTGACTGTTACCCTTGCAGCATGTATTTTTTCTCCACACCACTGATGTTGACTAAAGGAAAAGAAGGAGCCTATACTACTTGACACCAATGTTGTTACAGAAATTGCCAGAATAAGTCTGGTTCCAACACTGGATTGCCTTTGCGACTCCTGATTTTATGCTCAAGACTTACACCTAAAACTTTTTCCATGATTGGCTGAAAGGCAGTGCGAGTTTAAATTCCTTCTTACATGGACTGCCCTCCCAGGCTAATGAGTTCCATTTACCAAATTTAAGAAGTACCAATCCCTTTATATCTCTATATCATGCATTTTGAGCATGTCCATTAAAAAGTGATTGTTCCTTCTTGTTGAAAAGAAATTGAATAATTTGTGCCTTAGTCGTCAAAATGTTATTTTGATTCTTCTTTTAAGTGCTTGTCCCTTCAGGATGTAGGTGATCATGGCTCTCCATTTCTTCCTGTTCCTTGTAGCTCTCAATAAGTTTTGTCTCTTTCTTATTTCTCTCAGACCCTGCTCTGCCATTCACTCGCTTAAGCCTGCTAAGTATGTCATGCGCTGCTTTCCCCTGTCCCTCTTTTTTGCTCTGTCTTGTGAGTATCAGATTTTCCAAGCCGTCTTTTCTCATTACTTGTCCCAGAAATTTTAGCTGCCTCTTTCTGATGTTAATTATAAGCCTCCTTGTTTTCATCCTCTCCAAAACCTCATCATTGCTCATATGTTTGGTCCATGGTATCCTTAGCATCCTTCTGTAGAACCATACTGCTGTTGCCTAGAGTCTCTTCTTCATCTTTGAGGAGATCATCTAACATTTGCTGCCGTAAAGGAGGACAGATATCATGTAGCAGTTTAGTACTCTTTTCATTGTTACCAATGAAACCCTTCTGTCTTGTAATACTCTGCCTAGCTTTAGGAATGCATTTTTGGCCATCCCAATATGTCTTCGGATCTCAGCGTCACACTTGACATCCTCTGTCAGAACACTTCCCAGATATTTAAATTTCTGTACCTGCTTGATTTTAGTGTCCCCAACCTGTAAATTGCATTTCAGGCTCATCTTTTTGCTGATGACCATGCATTGTCTTCTTGTAGTTTATATGTAGTCTCTTCTTCTTCTTGCACAGCTTTTTAGTTTCCTTTCAGTGTCTGCTATCAGCACTGTGTCATCTGCATATCTTATGTTGTTAAGATTGTGGCCGACATTGATGAATCCTGGTAGGATTTCCAGTTCTCTCAGAATTGCCTTGCTGTATAGGTTGAATAAGTCTGGTGAGAAGGCACATCCTTGCCTTACACCCCTTTCCATTTTTCTATATCTGCTGAACTCATTTTTTATCCATATGCAGGCAGTTTGCTGCCAGTGGAGGTCTTTGATTATTCTAATGTCTTTCCTGAATATGTCAAGGTTGCTGAGCAACTTCAACAGATCTTTGTGGTGTACTTTGTCGAACGTTTTTGCATAGTCTATAAAACTTAGGTGTATGTTCTTCTGCATTTGTATTGGTCTTTCTGATAACATTCTGAGCATGAATATCATGTTCCTTGTTCTGGTGCCTTTAACAAACCCGCACTGTTCTTGTCCTATCTTTGGCCTGATTCTTCTATGCACACTATTCATCAAGAATATGGATGATGTTTTATGTGGCTCATTAGGCTGATTGTTTGGTGGAGTTCACATTTGTTTGTGCTTGGTTTCTTAGGCAGTGCTATGAAAATAGATCTACTTAGATCTTCCAGTATATCCCCACTGTTGGAAATTTCATTTATTATTTCCGTAATCTTATCTATGCAAAAATCATCTAAAGCTGTCAGTATCTCTTATGATTCCATCTGGCCCTGCTGCTTTGTTTCTGTTCAATTTGAACAGTGCCACTTCTACTTTGGTTGTTAAAATATCAGGCCCATCAGTAATTCTGTGTATCGCTGACTGTTCTCTTTCATCATGGAAGAGTTCTCTAATATATTTGTTCCACTACTGAAGAATTTTTCCTTCTCTAATATAAGTGTTCCATAAGTAATGTTTCATTATTGTTTAACAAAAAATATTGGAATACACAAATCATTCAAACAATAAGCAAACATCACTTAACCAATATACATTCTTATAAGTATATAGTACAGAAAGCTTACTGCAGTTGAGTTCATCACTGTAGTCACCACACTGGTTGATTCCATCACATCTGAGGCTGATGGGAAGGCAGATAGAATTAGAACACTGGTAATGCCATTTAGGGTTACAAGCTGAAAATACAAAATGTTGACATTATGAGACAGAAGAGAAAATAAAACATGGGAGAAAAATGCTTAATAGATAATGAAAGTCAACCCTCAATTCAAATGAAATACAAAACAATGGTATCTAAATTTTTAGGATTTTTAAAGAATTTACAAAGTCAATTTGTTGGGGAATAAATTGGCCATGATAACAGAATATTATGATTTTTAATTTTTTTATGTCAACCATTATTAATTTTTGCCAATTATTTCTCTTATGAAAATTTTAGTTGCTTTTTATCAAAATTATTCAGGCCATCACATAATGGGTAGGTTTGAATGGTTAGATTTGATCTTCTGCCAACCAGAGAAGTTCTTGTAGTTTAATCAGCAGAGCAGCTGATAGAGTGAAACAGTCTTCTTGATGGAAAAGAATACAAGTTTAAGTTTCACTACAAAATTATAATTACATATTTGTACTGTTTGCCAATAACAACAGATTGATGATCGTAGTTTTAGTTACTTAGCAACTATTAAAGTTACTAAGAAATGTAACTAGAATTAAAATGAAAGAAAAAAAAATTAAAACATTAATAATGTTATGACTAAGATATAAATATGTGAAAAATAGTATAATATTAATTGTATATGTTGATCCATCATCATTTACACTATTCAAATTTCAATAATGTGTATGGATCAAGTGTGAAGAATATACATAATTGTGTGAAAATGTGTCAAAAATTGTTAATATGCTGTTCTTTAGTTGCTGTTGGTAAGGAAAGTGATTAGGCATAAGAGTATTGTTGGTAAGCCTAGGAGTTGACCAATTTGCTAGGTTAGTTGACCAACATCAGGGTGGTGACAACAAGAGAGGCCTGAGGGGATTAGTGGGGTGTTGTTAGTGGAATTGATGCATGCCTTTCTTCAGGGTTGAAATCAAGGTGTGTGGATGAGCCAGAGGTCTTGTAATGAGGTAGAGATATTTAGCTGAACTACCTGTCATCCATGAGGGGTACCATTTTTATATATGTAATTTAGCAGGTGCAGACATATTCGTTTTTTGGGGTTTTTTTTTCAACAATATTTGTGATTGGCTATAGTATTTTAGATTTTTAGTGGGGATTTGTTTTGTGAACCAAATGTGATGCTCAGAGCCCCTGTGCAGAAGACAACATTTTTTATTTCGGCCTTTGCTTTCTTAGCGCTTACATCCAGCCAACATATCTAATGAAATGTATTTGTGAATCAGAAAGAGATCTTCATTAAAGAAGTAAAGGAAAACAACAGCTTGTTTCTTTGCATCTGTTGGTGGCAGTTTTGTGAGTAGAAGACACCATCAGTGAGTCCTTTTGATGCAAGTGAATTTTCTACTACTGACTTTCTCAAGTTTCCAGCTTGCTCTTTATTTGTTTTCTGATTAAATACCAGCTCTGAGCTTTAAGAGTTTTGAAAACTAAATAGACCCATTTTATTGGTTAATTTTACTGCCATCATATTTGTGTAAAAATCACCACTCCAATACCATACTCACTAGCATCTGATGCCACTACAATTTCTGCTTTTGGATCATAGTGTGATAAGTTTGATATAAGTTTTTTTCTTATTTCGTCAAATGAAATTTGAAATTTATCATTCCAATACCACTTTACTCCGTTTTTAAGTAGATCATTCATGGAGCCCTTAACTTATGTATATTATTCTATCTGAACAAGCATGTTATGTGGTCTCTGTCTGCCAAAATCAAATTAGGTCAAGCAAAGCTAATTTTCTTTTTCTTATAGATGGATTGATAGATTTGTTTTTTCTGTACAGTTTATCAACCTCTTTAACTATTTAAATTCCAAACATACTTTGAATTATAAGCATAATTCTTTTTTTTTTTTAGGTGAGTGAATATTACATTAACAATTTTTTTCCAGATACAAGTTCTACTCTTTAACCCATAGCTGGCAGGGGAGATGGATCTATGGCTTTCCTTAGGTTTTTTGTGCATAAGTGAATGTAATGAACCCGACTGGAATTCAAACTTAGCTCTCCAATTTCCAAGATTATTGAATCTAATATCAGTCCTCCTATATGGCTATGAATGCTAGACAATCTTATCACAGATGAAGAAAAGATGTGAAGCAACAGAAATGTAGTTCTACAGAAGGATGTTGAGAATACCATGGATTGAACATGTGGACAATGACAAAGTTTTAGAGAAAAATGGAAACAAAACAGACACTCATAGAATGAGAGCTGAAATTTCTAGGGCACATAATGAGGAGAGAATTTTTTTTTCTTTAGAAAATCTTGTTAAAAATATTTTTTTCTTACATCTGTTACCTCTACCTTAATTTTATGAAATTTCAAGAAATTAAAATTTCAGCCTCTTCATGTTTATATTAGTTAAAAATAGGATTCCTTAAAGAATTTAAATCATAAATTTGTTTTGTCAAATAGAAACACCATTTACTGAAAATCTGTTCTGAATTGTAAAATAAAAAATGCAATGAAACTATTTTCTATTTAATTAGAAAAGCTTTTAATTGCTTTTATAAATAAGATATATTAAGGACATTATTGTCATAGGAAAAAAAATTTTTTTCTATGAATGAAGAATTTTTACAAGAACAAGAACTCTTTACATTTTTTTAAAAATTTTATTATGAAAATTTATTAACTTTTAAATCTTTTAAAATTTTGTATTAATTTCACCCTTTTATATGATATTATTAAGTGAAAACTATATTTACTAATCATAAATGGAAAAGCTCAATACAAATAATCAAACACCAATATTTTAAAAATAATTTTGAATTTTTTTTGTATGCATATAAACATGCCAATTTTTGTAACTACCAGTGACTATACACAACATTATCAGAAAATAAGAGCAATAACTATAGTAAATTTAAATTCAACATTTGTAAAATTCAATAAAACATTAGATTATGGAAAATATTTTCCGAAATTTTTAAGATTACTGGGTACTTAAAAATTATATAAAAAAAGGTACTCATGTCATTTTCTTCAATTATTCCATAGAACAACATTAGATTTGTCATTAGGCTGTCAACACATCATCACAGCTATTGTCAGGTTAAAAAAATGCATTTCTGCTTAAGCTTAAAATAAACATTTGTTTCAAATCATATTAATTATACTTTTACTTTATACTTTAAATCAGCTAATATTCCATGAATAAAGTTTCAGAAAAGCACATTTTATTTTTAAAAGATTTTTTAAGAAAGAGAATTACATTGCAATGAAAGACAACTAAAAAAGGGCACTAAATCAGCTATTTTAGCAAAACAAAAAACTCATTTCAGTTAATTTAAATTAATTTTTGAAATACAGCAAAGTATTTTGCTTATTGAAAATATTAAATTTAATCTATTAGCTTGAAATTAAAACTAAAATAAAATCCCCCAAGAAAGACTTCATTTTTAAAAATTCATTTTAAACCATAGGTATTGCATTTTTTGTGCAGGTCTGTACTATATAGACATTAAAAACACAAAATCAGATATGATGCACAAAGTGTTACCCAAAACTTTAGATAAATTGAAATTTCCAGGGACACTGAATATTGTACCAAATTTTCCACTACTCTTTGCTGAGTAATACACTTTGTAAGGTAATAGGACTACACTATTTACATTATTCGGACTATTGTCCTCATCTTTGTCGCCATGTTTATCACAACGTTTTGGCCGTTGTATGCTTCGGCCTTCTTCAGGTGGTTGGAATGTCAAACTGAACCCTTTATTTCACTCACTGGGGTAGACTGTTCTAGTTCCATGTGCCATGTCTAGTGGATGTCAGTTATCTCCTGTTAATTCCCCTCTGAAAGTTCTCCACTGCCTTAACCAGGTATTGAACTCACACTCTTTGGGTCCTGTCACTGGATCTAACTAATGCCTTTATCCATTAGGACTACTTTGAAAGACACAGTGGAAACTAGGTATCAGAGATTGTTCTTTTTTTTTTATATCATTAAATTCTTTAAAATTTGGAGTTGCATTTCATCTTGTTAGCATAAAAAGATTTAGTAAAGACTGAAAAGAATCAGAGAGAAAAAAAGCATGTGAACTTACTGCAGTTATCTGGCTCATCTGATAAATCACGACAAAGGGGATGCTTATCGCAGAATGACTCCCCAGGAATACATTCACCTGACTTAACACATTGGAACTGAGATTCCAAGCATTCTGAAAAAAAAAAAAAATAGGAAGAAAAAAAATGAAAGTAAATTTTTACACTTTTTTTTTTGTAAATGTTATTTTTACATATTTTTTTAAAAAATTGTTCTTCAGCTGGTTGATTTTCCAGCCATCATTAGGTTAAATGTTTATATGGTAAATCTATTTTTAACATACTGTAATTCACTATGTATAATATACCTTCATCTATAATACACCCCCCTAAAATTGTGCTGAAATTGTGGGAAAAAAGCTTCTACTCATGCATAACATGCACCCCTTATTTGGTAATCAAACCCTATAAATTGTATCTCTCCAATTTCATTATGGACAGTATTTCCTACTCTTTTTCAAGCTGTAATTGAAGATATTTATCAATATTTTTGATCATCATGATTCGAAAAAGAAACAGAAATACCTATATTGTGCCTACTGCACAGAGTAACCTGTTTTTGTTTGATAAAATCTGCAATCGATTGGATCTATATGTAGTTTTTCACAAGAAAAATGATTTTAAACAGAATAATATTATTCTAATTTAGTTTTATGATAATTCTTATTTTATTTTACATTTGTAAGTATTGTTAGGTACATATGATTGTATTTGACATCCTTATGGGGTTGTAATTGCTGAATGCTAGTGTCAAATTGTCATATGCTTGTGGTGTGTAGTCATTTTGCAACTAAAATCGACCTATGAAATGGTAATTTTTTAAAGATTTTTTTGTGGATTTTTTTTTGTAGTAATACACACCCCTAATTTTTCTTATTATTTTTAATAAAAAAGAATGCATATTATACATGGAAAATTACAGTATTGAATTTTGACACTTGACCACATGCCAATACACTATTTTGAAAAATGTAAGGAAAAATGGTCATCTCTTTATACGACTCCCAAAAGTACCAAACTCCTCCTGCCATGCCCTATCTTTACAAGAGTTACTAAAGGGAGAAGCTTACTAAATGGGATTGTTTTATGGACATAAACATAACATAGCTTCTTGTGCCTTTTCTATAAATATTTTTTAACGTGATTCTTCTGATGAGCTTTACTCTTTGTTACCTAAGCTTTATGAATTTAAGTGTACTATTAGATTGGTGACAATTTTACAGTTGAAATTACTAGATGTATGTGTAAGTTTTATGCTAAATTTCTTTTCTCACACTTCTCGCTTGTGGTAATCTCTTTTGGCTTCTTGTTTTGCAGTCAATTGATCTTCAAAAATTTAAATGCAATGTCAATTGTTATTGTCTGTCTTCTTAATTCTTGTTCTTTTATTGTTCTTTATTCCCAATAATGTTTTCTTTTTCTAATGTTCTCTCATATTCAGAACTCCTTGCATCTTAGTGGCTCTATAGCCTTGATTGGGGTGAAATGATTAAAAAAAAAAGAAAAAGGAATTGTAGATTATATGAATATGTAGGATAGGTAACAGTTGAACCTAGACTAGAAAAGGATTGTAGTAGATGTTGGAAACATTTCTCTTAAAGCAGTCGTTAAATGGCTTTGTCAAGACACACAACTCTGGGCTAAGGTTTTTAAAAAGAACTACTAGGAATTTTATCCAGACCAATAGCCTTTATGAAATCAAGGCTTTTGATTGATCTGGAAACTTCCCATGATGTGAAAAAAATATCACAAAATTTGTGTTCTGTGATTGATTGATTTGGTTTATTTACAGCTTATCAACCCTTTGCAGCATATTTAAAGCTAGAAGATATTTTTAGATTGTAAGAATGTTATGTAGATGATAATGATTTACTGATACAAGTCCTAATAATTAATCCATCATAATTTTTCATATTTTGATAGGTGTGTTGATTTATGTGCGTTTGTATATCTAAAAATGCAGATATAAATAAAAAATATCTCTGTAAAAATACAAAAGGAAAACTTTTCTTTACTGACAAAGAGAGGATGAAAAGTTTTCCTGTTGTCTTTATTCATACATATTATGTTGGATTTGTGGAAGGCCATCTTATGACAACATCCATTCCTGCCATATATCGGTATGATTGACTTGAGTGTGTATTGGCCTTGTGTAATGATTAAAAGAAAATGCATGGAGTGTTGATAAATACAAAATAAATCTTTATATAATATTATGTACCACCCTCTTTTACTGTTAGGGTAGTAGTGGGAGGTACAGTAACATATAATATAAAATCGCGAAATTCTTTTCCTAATGGTGCTTTCCTGATTGATCAAACATGGCTCAGCTAAATGGAATCAATGAACAAACACGGTAGGTGACAAATAAAAGAAGGCAAAGATATAGGAATAACAAATAACCATTTTATTACTAAATTAATGGGGATTAAATATTCTGGGGTATATTAAAAGATTAAAGATGGAACGAAACAAAACAAATGAGACAAAAATAAATATTATGGGACAAAACAATGGGAACTTATCTTTTCAGAAAGGTCAATATTATGCATGAAATAACAAATGACAAAAAGACAAAATGAGCAAAGATAAAAGAGGCATTAGAAATAATGGACTCTTATCTGTTATTTGAAAAAAGTCCTTTTTCTTTTCCTTTAGTGTCTCATATGTTTCTCTTTTCTTTTATATTTCTTTTTATCTTTTATTTTCTCCTTGTTGGGTAGAAACTTTATCTGTGAAATGGATTTCTTTTTGGCTTCCTTTTTTTTCTTTTTCATCTTGTTCAGGGGTTGAGTGAAGAATAAGTTGAATCTTTCTTTTCCTGACAAATTGATTATGGTGAGATTTGAACCCGGGTCTCATGGTCAGAAAGTGAATGTTCTAATCACTCAGCCATGCACCCATATATATATATATATATATATATATATATATATATATATATATATATATATATATACATGTCTGTACATATATATATATATATATATATATGCACACACACATATATATACATATGTATATATGTGTATGTATGTATGTATGTATGTACATGTAAATTCCCATCAGGGTAGCTAGAGACAAATGGTGAGTGAAATAGACTTCGGACAATTTCTGATGGAATTTCTTTCTTGTCTGAGAAGGATCATTTGTAATTTGAATAAATTGATCAGTAAAATGAAACAACACAAAGTGTCTGCTGTCTTTAATAATATTTGCCTAAAAGAACTTTTGCTCCCTAAATACACAGAATATGTATATAAGTATGAATTCAAATGTACTTGATGCCACTTGACAATATAGGTGAGAGAAGAAAGGGATGCTTAAAAAGGTGCAGAAAGTTCAATGTATCAGGATGGATGAGCTGTCTAAAGCCACCAGCTAGTCATGCAAATGTTGTATTTCATTTCTGGGTATGTTGCTATTAGTATTATCAGCCAGCCATAGTTTACCAGCTATTTAGTGTTAGGAAGTATAATGCTTTTTAGTCTTCCAGTAGCACACCAAGGACTAATATTAGCATTAGCATAGCCATTGATACACTAACATTGAATGTAACTATAGAAAGACAAGATACACACCCATAACAAACAAAACATTTAATAAGGCAAATAATTTACCTACACATATTAAAAAGATTTACCCATGTCCCAAAAAAAAAAAAAAAAAAAAAAATGATTGTTCATACTGTCCAAAGGACGAGAATGTTTAACAGAACAATGAACAAAGAAATAACATACCAGCCTTATGGCCTTTGACCATCCATAACTAAGTGAATCAAAATTACTTTTTTCTCCATGTTAGGCTGTGCACATGTTGTCCAGTTTCCACGTGTGTGGATGCCCTGGTGGTCAGGAAAGTAATAACTGTTCCTCAAAAACAGAAGCAAAAAAAGAAAAGGGCAGAAGAGTTCTCCTCTCTAAAGGGGCTGAACTCCTATGGGCTCAACCCAAAGTAAAACAACTGTTGTCTCCCTACATTGCAATGACTAGAGCATCAGAGCATGAACAAAATTTATTTATTGTTTCTGAATTTAGTTGATTTTCCATCTGGCGATATACACATCTATAGATCTATTTTGAAAAGGGCACTCTGATTCTTATTGTCATGTGGCCTTATATCCTGGTTGTAAATGCTTTTTGATTGGTTGGTTGAAATATGGCACTGTGGTCTGGCGATTCTGATTATGCATATATTTTTAGAAATGGTGAAATTTTAGTCTTCTTGTTATTCATATCACCACAATATTTTTTTAAAAGCCTTTTAAAAGTTAACTTGCAGTCAATTGTTTTTTGTGATATCTCATTGTTCCTTTTCTTCTTGTGCTCTAAAACTAAGTGAGTACTACTGATACAGTTCCTGTTAGAATTGTATCATATACCATAGCACTTGCAGTTATACCTTATAATTGGTGGATATGCTATTGGTATCATCAAGTTCTTTTATGCAATTTCTAGCTCAATACGCAGAACAGAAAAAACTGTAAAATGCATAAAAAAGCACTTAGAAATATTCTACAAAGCAAAATCAAAAGTTACTTACTACAATTGGGCAATTCATCTGATCCATCATGACAATCCATTACTCCATTGCACCAATGTTTATGGGACATGCACAATCCATTTCCACACTGAAACTCTGTACGATAGTCACATTCTGAAGGGGGAAAAAAATTAATAAAATTTTAAACAATATACTCCCAAAACATGGCTCCTTTCTTTCTAAATGATATCAAAAAAGAGAAATCAGAAACAATGTCTTTTCATTGTTTAAGATTTGATACCAGGGTCAATAACTGACTTTGAAATTATTGATCAAGATAGAGTAAACTTTAGATAAATGAAATAAAAATTAATTAACACAGTATGTTTACATGTGGTAAAAGAAGTACTCATTTAATTCTAAACAGTTCGACCTCTTTCTTTTGTTATCTAGTATATTAAAACAATATTTTGGATGATCTATTCTTCAGACTTTGTCAGTGGTTTTTCTCTTTTCTTACTTTTCATTTGTGGAAAACTGAAGAATGGAACATTTTAAAAGTAAAACATTGTAACATCCCTTCTTCATGTTGTTTAACAACATGAAAAAGGGATTCAATTGCAGACCTGTCATCTTAAAACCCAGAGATTTATCTTCATAAAAATCGAGATTTTACCAAAAACAATTAGAAACAAGTATTTCAAGAGCAGCTCCCAAAATATTATCTAATGGGAATTAAATCATATATATATATATATATATATATATATATATATATATATATATATATATATATATATAATAAATTACAACAGAGAAATCCAAAATTACCTCATGGGTATAATCTATTTCAACTGACACTGAGTATGTCAGTCTTATTCAACCCAGATGAATGTAGTTTTAAACCTACCACATGTTATTTTTGGACCATTTGGAAAATAATAATAATAACCCCTTTCACAGTTCCTACAAATTCAAGAAAAATATTTTCACAAGCCAGTGTGAAATTATTTTCTAAGTAATGAAAACTTTGTATTCAAAAAGTTCATAACTATGTGAAATTTTTGAATACAAGATATGGATATTTAGAAGCATACTGATTCTTAGAGTTTAAAACAATAGATACATACACACTGACCCACACACATGCACACAATGAAGAGATGACAGCCAGCAGCCACCAACTAAAGCTTTGTCTACGATCTCACAAATACATTAGGCTGTCATAAAGGAAGTCTGTCCACACATTTTACACTGCCTTATAAACACTTAATTACTTTATAAAACAAACTTCACTACAAGGAAAATTGAACATTTTATTGTTATTGTAGATTTCTGCAAAGAACATATAAATATTATTTCAACTGATGCTCTGCTTCTACTTTTCCTTCAGTGAAAAACCTTTTTTACGTTTCCTTTAAAAGATGTGTTGTTGTTAAATGTTTGGGATTCTGACACTCAGATAAAACAAAAACTTAGACAGATCCCAACAAGTGGATACAATATCCATAAAACTCTGATTCAGGAAAATAAGTTGAACATTTAATTATATTTGGTGCAATATATATATATATATATATATATATATATATATATATATAGCCATTTAACTAACCTTGTATTCAAAAAGTTCACATTGCTATATGAAATTAGATTTTGGTTCTCTCTTATGGATATAAAAATATAATCACACTTCTCAGTTCCAAAACAATTTTGGTCGCCAATTTGAGCTTCAAGTGTGTACATACACCCACATCCACACACATGCACACAATGGAAGAAATGACAGCCAGCAGCTGCTAGCTAAGGCCTTATCCACACACACAACAGAAAAGATTAACCAGCAACCGCCTACTAAGCCTTTGTCTATGAACTCACAAACACATTAGGCTGTCATAAAATAAGTCTGTTCACACATTTTATACCAAACTAAGAATACTTATAAAACAAACTTCATTGCAAGGAAAATTGAACATTTTATTGTTATTGTATATTTCTGTAAAGAATATATAAATGTTATTTCAACTGATGTTCTGCTTCTACTTTTCCTTCGGTGAATAACCTTTTTTATGTTTCCTTTAAAAGATGTCTTGTTGTTAAATGTTTGGAATCCCGACACTCAGTTAAAAGCAAAATCCTGGGTAGAAGGGTCCCAACAATCTCTAAAACATCATTCTTCAACTTCATGGCAGTTTTTTCCAACAGAGGCATGATTTTGGACTAACATTCATTAAAACCATTTTATGTCAATGTTTCACTTTAAATAATACAACAAACCCTGATTCAGTGAATCTGTCCTCAAAAAATGTATCTCCACAATAATTTAATCTAATCATGGCCTGCAATGGAGAAATGGTTTTCAAACCACAATGTGGATTGAATATAGGAAGCATTTTTACTCTGTAACACTTTTAGCAGAGAAAGTGTGACAATTTATTTACAGGGAAAATCTTGTAAAAAGTAAAAACAAGCAGACTTAGCAAACAAAGACCAACACTTAACACTAACTCTAAAATTAGGAAAACACTAGTAAATGAACTGGGAAATCACGATAAAGATCTCAAGGCCAGAAATCTGTAGGTGGTGCTAGGAGAATTGACAGGTCTGCAACTGTAAGATAAAAAAGGAAGAAGAGGTTAAAAAAAAATAAAATACCGGAATGTTAACAACTCTTCTCAAATTCAAAGTTATGTAAAATATTTGTTTTACCCAAATAAATTTGCCTTTGAAGTCAGAGAGCGCTTTATTCAAAGGCTGCAGAGTTGAATCATTTTAGAGAAACAAGCTTATCAAGCAGAACATGCAAGTAAGCAAAGTTGTAAAAGATGCAGTGAAATTCTTATTTTTTCATAGCAATTCCCATGAGTGTTTTTTTACACTGATCAGCAGTAAATCATAAAGATACAATTTTTATTACCAATTTAATGTGTCATGGTTTCTTTTTGATCAATTTATTATGCATTCAATTGAGTACTTTAAGGTAAATAACACAATATGAAACTATTTCCAGTCATGATTTCCCATTTGGTTCATTGGTCGCTTTTAATATCAAGTAAAAGGGAGATAACCATAACATTTGTTTTCAGCACTGATTGGTTGGTGTAAAAAAAAAGCATGGGGTAAAGACTCAAACAATCTACTAATTTTTTTTAATTAATTCCCATTGTTTTTCAACAATTTTTCTAAAATGCATCAATAAAGTCCCCAGAATTTGTTTCCTTTAATCTTCTGAATGAGATTGTTGAATTTTGAAGTATGTTCTCAATATGATACACAGCAGAGACCAAAGAAAGAAAGCAAGAAATGAAGCAATTAAGCAAAGAATTTAGAAGGATTTTTATCAGAAAATATCTTGCTTTTCAAAAGAAAGGAAGATGAAACATTGCATAATAATTTCAAGAAAGTTTCAAGAGAATTTTTACTACCTTTAAAAAACTATAAACTAGTAAAAATAGAGATAGTTTTATGGTTTCAAATAGATGTTAAAACAGAATTTTTATATTATATGATAGAATTGATTCAGTAAAGCGGTTTTAACTGTTACGCTATAGATATGACTGAGAGAATTCAAAATGTGTGAATAAGTCTTAGTAAAGGCTTTTAAACAGCATCAACTACAGATAGTTATAAAGTGGAGCTTGTAATGGCGCCTTTTGAGAAAATAAAAGAAATGGCCAACCCAGAGGTCTCTTTCACAGCATTGTTGTGACCAACATGTAATGAGTCCTCTGATTGGTCAATAGATGAGCCAATGACAGCCCTGCCTCATTTCCACTTTGGCAGACAATTTAGAAACTCTTTTTTGACAACTGGAGGAGTGAAAATGTACGAAGCTGCCTTCTGACCAAAAACAATAGGCCCTTTCATCTCTACCAGTAATTTTCAAATACAGATCTTTGCCAAATGTCTTCTACAATCTATAACTCGTATCAGTGCTGACATCTATGCAAATTCTCATGATCATCCTCTCATTGCCAAAACCTATACCTAAACACTATCAGAATTCCAATGAGAACTTATCATAACAAACTAATCAAAAATGGTGCGTTATGTCTTCGATGTAATTATAAATATAATGTTGTAACCAAAATGAAGGTTGGAAATGAAATGGTAATCTTTATGACATAAACAAAATACAATACTTGCCAGTGGCGTGAAGTAGGTGAACCACTGCTAGTAGTGAACTACTTAGCATATTACCCCCACTTACAATAGTGTCCAACGTATTTATGAGAATTGGGACATACCCATTAGTGTTCATAGGTATGGTATATAACATACAAGGAACAGAATTATTTCCTATATACTCTGATTTAACAGAACTATTAAAGAAAAGGTATCACAGAGACAAAAATAGGGATAATCAGTTAACACAAGATATATGTTATTAGACAGACAAAATAATAAACACTTGGAAATTGTCAGAAGGTACATGGTAGAAACATTGTGTTCATAATAATGTCTATAATAATATCATAATAATATCTATAACAATAATAACAAAGATAAGAATCCTTTACATTCTGACTACATTCAGGATAATAACCTAGTTGATTAAAACACTGGCTTGTGCATCTAGCATAGTAATTGTGAGTTCAATCCCTAGGCCAGGTAGTACTGGTTCAGACTTAGAAACAGAACTAGCAATAACTGAGCAGTACTAAAAAGAATAAAATATCCTAGGACATGAACAGCAGAATGATAATACTCTATTCCTGTAGGTTAAATAAAGGGTTACCTGGGCTGAGTGACACTTGAAGGCTGGAGATCACACCTGCCAAATCATCATGATAATAACAATAAGGATGAGGATTTTAGTCTGAATGTAAATAAATCTTCATCCTAGAAATTCCATTATAAACAATTGTCAAATCTACCCAACATTTACCTTCTTGGTCTTTAGTCCAGAATCAATAGTATTTGTTCTCCTCATTAATCTATAGGGAAGATGCTTGGTACCAGGGATTTAAACCTTGTGGCAGCACATTCCACATTGGACTAAAGGAGGGAGGCTTGATGAAATATTGATGCTAACATGTGGTTGCAAAGACTGTGCATTTTTTGTCTTAGACCCTTATGTTCATAGACACCCCACATGAAAAATGACACCTCTTATCCTTGCGAGGATGTGGGTAAATGCCAACCACAATTGGATTTTTAGTGTCTAATAATGC